ATCTTTTAAGCATTTTTTACTTAGTAGGTGTTTTGTTTTATACATAATGCCTATTGTTTTAGAAATTTTGTTTTCAACGAGCGTAATATAACTTTTCCAATTAAGAGGTTCATCAAATATTACTCCCAGGATTTTCATTGACACGACTTATTTTACAATAATTTTGTTTATGACTAACTGAGGAGGCAAACTATCTGACTTAGATGGCTTATGAAATAAAACATATTTAGTTTTACTAATATTTAAAGAGAGTTTGTTTGCTTTGAACCAATCCTCCAGGTTTGTCAGCTCACAATTTACTATGGTAAAAATTGTTTTAATATTGGAGTCAGAGTAAAAAATAGTAGTATCATCTGCGAAAAGGATAAAGTTAAGCATATCTGAGGAACGGTATATGTCATTCACATAGATTAGAAACAGTAGGGGTACAAGAATAGAGCCTTGAGGAACTCCACAACTAACTGTTTCTAGCTTTGAACAAGATGTGGTATAAGATACTCCTTGTTTTCTATTTTTAAGGCAACTTTGAAACCAATTTAGGTTGATGTTTTTTACTCCATATTTTTCGAGTTTTTGCAGAAGGATTTTATGGTCAACAATGTGTCAAAAGCTTTTGACAAGTCGATAAACAAGCCAAGAGTATAACTATTTTTAGCAAAGCCCTCTAAACTTCGACTTGCTAAATCAGATACTGCATGATGAGTTGAATGACCTTTTCGAAACCCAAACTGTTTGATGAATAAGATATTATGTTTTTCAAGGTAATTATATAGTCTGGTATACATAATACGCTCAAGCACTTTTGAAAAACAGGAAAGAATGGATATTGGTCTATTATTAGATGATAAAGAATCATTTTTGTAAACAGGGACAATTCATGCAACTTTTAATCGACAAGAAAAAATACCAGTTGTTAATGACAAGTTAAAATAAAAAAAAGGCAATTAATAATATCATAAACAGCTTTCAGAGCATTGACATTTATATTGTCAAATCCTGCACTCTTATTTATTTTTAATTCATTAAAAGATGCTCTAAGTTCATTTACAGACAATTCAGACTCATCCATAACAGAATGAGCTGTTTTTAAATATGACTGGAATATTGTTTTTTCAGAAATTATATCAGCAGCTAACTTTTTCCGATGTTTATAAAGAACTTGTTGAGATTTTCAGCAATTTCTTTCTCATCAAATATTTCTTTGTTCATATTGATTTTTAATCTCTTTGGAAGTGTGGTGTTTTTTTCTAATTTTGATTTTCCTGTTACTTCTTTAATTACTTTCCATGTTTTTCTACTATTTCCTATGGAATTTTCTAAAAGATTAGAATAATAATTTTTTTTTTATTTGTTTTTTTAATCTTTCAAAATAGTTTTTATATTTTTTCTAATTTGTTTCATTGGTATAAGTTTTATTTTTTAAAATTTCACATAAAACATAAAATATAAAATAAAATGTTATTGAAGTTTGTATTTGTTTTATTTTGAGAGTCTTAGTTTTTAATAATTATTTTGTCTTTATTTTCTTGTTAAAAGTAATAGTATTTAAACCCCTTTTTTTTGTATTATTTTGAACTTAAACATTCCCCCCCCCCCCCAACTAGTTTGATAAATTCTTGCTTGTTACCTAATCTCGGGATTTCCCGGGATCCCGGCAAATTAATCATTTTTGTCCTGGAATTCCGGGAATTAGATTTTTACGGGAAATGACAAACCCTAGTCCAAAACGTTCAAAAAATGTTCAATACGTTTAAAAGACGTTTAAAAGCTGTCTTTTTTACTTCCCTTTCCCACTGGGTTATGTAAACGTTAAATGTGTACAAGAAACATATACCTAGTTACAATTTAATGTATAAAATAAAGCATGGACTGTCTCTAACGTTATTTAAACCTTATTTTAGTGATGTAAACCATAAATGCCCAAAATTTACAGAAGAAATTTTCAATTTTTGTTACTCCAAAATAAAATCTAAATTTAAGTTGTTAATCTATTCAGTATAGGGTACCTATTGTGTGGAAACATTGTAAGCAAATTATTACTAATAAAGAAAAATTACTTCCAGAATAATTATGGAAGTGTTTATTTTCTAAAAATATTTAGTACTTACGAATTTTAATATTGTAGATTTTTCTTTCTCTTTTAAAAGTTACTAATCTAAATTAGCACCATAAATTATAGTTTTAACAATCTAGACTATTTAATAATAAGTAGAAAACCAAACACAGTGTTGTTAATATGAATGTCTTTACAGGGTTCTCACCAAATAAAAAATTAAAGATCCAGGACTTTCCAGGATTTTTATGGACAATTTTCTATTATGAGCAGCAAAACCAATCCCAATTTCTTTTGTAGGTTTCCTAGTGATTTTTATCAGTTCAATTTATTTAAAACTGCTACACTTATTTAAAACATCTTTAAGCATGATCCGCCGAAGAAAGTTAATGGCCATATCACTTAGTATGATAGTCAAGTAGAATCATTGATTTGTATATTTTGAAACATTTCAAGAAACCATTTAACATTTTGAAACATTTCAAGAAACCATTCAACAATAAACTTCTGTTTGACATGCAAAATAGGGTGGTGAATTCTGTTATACCGGCCAAAATGGTTTTCAGTTTTAATAACCTTTTATTCTTTTTAATCAGGTTCTTTATAAAACTACTGAAACATATTATAAACTTTTTGTATCCATTATAAAGTGATTTAGGCCTTTTGGCATAATTTTTATTTTTACACCACCAATGTCAGCTACATGAGATAATAAAATGCTATTTTCTAATAATATTTTCACTTTAAAACTGCCATGAATGATGAGGAGTCAAAAGACTATTAGAGGATCAAGTTCCTCTTTCCTCTGTACTTTTAAACTACCTAATAAAAACCAAATTACATTTGTTCCATCTGACGACACCTATAAAATCTTTGAACTATATTAACTATATTAGAAATACAGTTTAAGATACATAATGTTAGATGCAGTTGAGTGCCCTATTATTTACGAGTTTTAACCATACATTCCAAAATCGAACAAGAGAGTCCGAATTTTGGACTCATGCTTAAACACTGGAGCATGTAGGTGGGATCATTTTTTTTTTTTTTTTTTTTTTTTTTCCAGAAAAATATGAACAAGGTAAATTTACATTGAATATATTACTGGTAGGACTTCCAGAAGATCACATGATCTTATCATGAAGCCCTTTACAATCTATATAACAAATTAAAAGGTAGAAAATTTACAAATATTAAAAATTACATAAGCGTTAGAATGTTCTTCAGATGTTAAGCAAGTTTTAACATAATATTTTATAATATGGATATATAACATTCTCAATATTGAACAATATTATAATATAAAGTATTCAGCATATATTGTTTAAATAATATTCATCACACAGTCGACAAAAATATCAAATAACTTGAAATACTAAAAATAAATAAATAAATTTTGTGTTGAAAAGATTATTTCTTTTGTTTACTTTTTAAAGGAGGAATAAGACCATTTCAAAGAAAAATCAAAGTTAGGTAAAACTATTTTATTCCAAAGAAATGGACCACGATAAGAAATACAAAACTGGTCAATTTTTGTTTTGCAAAACGGCTCTTGAATATTTTTACTATCACGAAGTTCATATTTGTTTTTTGGTTTCAAATTATAGAGATTTATAAATACACTTGGAGATAAATTTTCTTTACATTTAAACATAAAACATAAAATATTAAAAATATTTAGTTTGTATATATTTAAAGCTTTCATTTCTATAAGAAGTGGTGTTGAGCTTGAAAAACGATTTCCAAAACTGATTATGCGAGCTGCGTGTTTCTGATGCCGATAGAGAGATTTAAGTTTGGTTTTGTGAGCGCTTCCCCATATAATATTGGCATAGTTTATATGGCAATGAATAAATGAATAATATAGTTGAGTTAGTTGCTTTTTATTTAGTATATATCGAGCTAAGAAACAAATTTAAATTAATGAAATAAAATTATTTTTATTTTATTTCATTAATTTAAATATGGAGAATTCATTTAAATTATTTTACATTTGCATAATTCAAAACACTTCTATACCTTTTATGATTTTGTGTAGCAAATTCACTTTTTTATAACATATGACTTGTGAAACAGCCAATACGAGAGTTTTTATTATTTCATTTTAGTTATTTTTTTCTTTTTTTAAATAATTCTTTGTTTCTTAGCTTCTCACAATTGTCATTTTTGCATATTTCGTATGTTAGAGATTTGTAAATTGCGTTTATCAAAAGCTATTTTATGTCTTCATCTTGCTCCAGCCATTTTGTTATTTGTGCATTACATTATTACGAAATGAACTTAACTACTACCACAAAAAAACACGTCATCATTTTGTTGTACTTTTTCATAAGTTCCGCATATATTTAAAAAACGGTAAAAAATGACGAGTGCAAGTAATTTTGTTACACTAGTCATAGATCATCTATATTTTAAAAATCCGGAAAATTTTTGAGGTTTAATATCCGGAAAAAATCCGAAATATATTTCCCTCTTAATTTTGCTTTTAATTGAATTGTTTCTAATTTATTTTTCAAACTTTTCTTAGTTTTGTATGAGTGGTGAGTGAAAAAAGCTTCAAAAAGAAGAATATTACAAAAATATACACCTAAACTGGTATGTATGGAAAACGTTTTGGATATCCGGAAAAACCTAAAGTTGAGAAAAATATCCAGAATTCCGGAAATATCCGGAAAAAGATAATCCCTGAAACTAGCCTAGTTTATGAAAAGAAATTATTATTTTTTTTATTGATTCGTATACAAAATGTAACAACAAACATTCGAAATAAAAGTTTGTAAAATCGAATTTTTAAATGCATTTTTACAATTTACTCTAAGATGACCGAAATTATACGGCGACTGAACTAGTTATATTTTATTTGTCTTAAAGTTTCAAAGTATATAGCTCTTTATAAAGATTTTTTTAAACACTTCATACGTAACGTGGAAAAATAAATAGCCCTTCATAAAGTTTCTTTTAAATACTTCTTACGTAACGTGGAAAAATAAACAAGCAACATTCGTGTTACAAAATAATTTTTACAAAATACTAAAAAAACATGAAGTTATAAATAAAAACTATTATACATGGTTATTGTACAATTAATTTTTCCTAAAAGTTAAAAAAAGTGTATCAGAACCTTCAATTGCGTAAATTTAAAAAACTTTTTGATAAACATTTAAATCACCACATTTCGTCGTGCGACGTCATCCATCATCATGCCTGAAGTGGGCGTCATATTATCACTATCGATGATTTGTTGAGATTCAATTTGAGCGCGTGCAAAATTTACAAATATCTAAAAAAAAAAAAAATTAAAATAAATTCTAACCCTAATTATATAATACAAAGTTAAGTTTACGTTTATTAATTTTTATAAAAACTTTACTTAAAAACCTTTTAAGTGAAATTTTTTAAAGTTATACTATCTCGTAAAAATACCCCCAACCCAGTCCCAGCTTCACTCCTCCTTAAACTAAGTTCGTAAGAATATGTTTGATTATGTTGATACAAATGAATATTTTTAGTTTATTTAAAAGGTGTTAAAAATCTGAAAAATATTTCAAACTTTTAACACCTTTTTTAAACTCAATTGATGTTCAGCAATTTGAAATATTATTGTTTGTGGTTAATATTTTTAGACTGGTATTAAAATCAATATAGAACAAAAGTAAGAACAAAAAAAAAAAAAAATTATAATTATAATTATACGTAATTTATTTGCAAGTTTTATAACAAAGAAACAAAAATTTATATCATGAGTTAATCTAAAAAAAACATCACATGAGGTTGGAGAATATGTGACAGGACTGAATGGCCTACAGTAGAATGATGGTCTGATATTTAATTTAACTAAAAAAAACCGGAAATAATAAAACAAAAAATATATAATAGAACCACATAACAAGTATAGTGCAAAGTCAGATTCAGAGTTACACCACTATAGGTAATTTTTCAAAAACACGCTTAAAACACTATTTTCAGTAGTGTTTGTTAAACAAAAATTGAAAAGCATACTTGATTATTAACATATATCATTTACATACTTGGTCAAGGGTAGTCTGTGTAATCGAATAATCATCAATAGATTCGGTTTTTCTAAGTTGTTCTAATTTATGAAATACATCTGATAACTTAAGACCAATACTTGGAATTCGGTATTCTAGCATATTGTGATGACGATCCTAAAGAGAAAAAAATTTTAGATTGAGTTTGGGCTAAATAAATCCTACTTATCAAAAAATGATCTTTTTTAGAGGTTTTTAGTAAAAGTTATTTTTACATCATTCCTTATCAAATCAACCCCAAAAAAAAAATTTTCGGCACCATGCCATCTTTGATTTTGATGATTTTCGGAATACAAGCTTATATTAATGTAAGAAAACATCACTCCAAATTTTAATGTCTGATTCCTTACGGTTTCAGAGATATTGATACTCAGTCCCAACTTCTTTTTTGATTATTTTTTTTCAGCACCATTTACTTTTTAAGCTAATAACATAACACAATTAGCTTTAACTTATGAAATAATTGCTTAATAGTGTTGAAAATGTGTACCTAATTTTCAGGGAGAGGAACTCAAAAATGATTCCTAAAAAATTAAAGCTTTATGAAAATTCAATTTCAAAATGATGTAACACTTTTTATAAGTTTTTGATGCCCCATACAAAAAGAAAGTATATGTTGAGATGCCTAAATGATATGATTCTGAAAATTTTTCTTATGGTTCTATATATAACAAACTCCTTATTACAAAAAAACTGCAGGTTTTCTTTTTTGAATCTGATTTATTTGCATTGAAAGTTTTATAAAAATTTAAGAAAAATTTTATTTAATAATGAAATAAAAAAAATAAAAACATTTATTTTTTGCATTTTTTTAAAAAATTTTAAAATCTCAGGTACATTTCTAATATATAAATTTGTTTGCACTTCACATTAAAGATCTTCACTTTATACAATCTTTATGTTTAATGAAGGATTTTCTATTTACAAATCTTCAAATGATTATTTTAAAAATATTTCTTACAGAACTAAAAAATAATATAAAAATATTAATGATAAAGAAAGATTTTTAATTGGATTAATAGGTAAAGAAAATTTTATAATAATAAAAAAAAAAGTCTATATATATTTAAATTGATGTCATTTAAGGATGATGGACTAGAAGAACCGACTTGCAGCCAGATTTATGAGAATGAAGATAATGAATTGCTTAAATCTCATTTCTTTTTTGACAGCTATGAACATAACTCCTCTCAATATGTCCTCAAAACGCTGTAAATAGTCACTCAAGAGTTGCTCTTGTAAAAAAAATTAAAAACTATTACATGTTAAAAAAACAGTAAAGTTAGATAATGCAATGATTTTAAATTAAAATCCTGATCAGTTGAGCCAAGATGATTCTTTCAATAAATTATCTAAGGAAATTAAATGTAAAGCAAATGATACGGATATACTTATAGAAAAAATTAAAAAAAATTGTTAACTTTCAAATAGAATCAAAAAATTCAATTACTACTGCTTCCAATATCTTGGCCTAACAAATGCATAGAAAAAGAATTTAATGCTATTTATTATATGGTGCAGATATCACGCAAACTGTTGCTGAAAAATAGTATTTAATCCTTCTCTAAAAAAAACAAGCAAAGGAAATATCTCATTTGTCGTATGTGTATTTACTGTATGCTAAGTTTAAAACCAGTTATCCTAATATAAAGACTTGTTTTTCTCACTTTTTCCAAAATGGTGCATTACAGTGTGAGCATCTGGTACACATACAGTATGTGTGTGATCACATACTGTATGCATACCTACCATCAAAATGTTAAGTTAGTGATTAGTGCAGTTGAATTATCAATGATTGATCATAAACTTATTGATATGTTTTTTTGTAGTAGGGTGAACAAGAACTGCATGACACATTGTAGGCCTTTATGTCCAGAAGATTCTATATTAAGACATTATATTGAAAGTGAGTTCTACTCTCAAGAAGATATTGATAAAGATGATGGTTATTGCATAGATTACAAACAATGGAAGACAAGAGGCGGATCTGTCTGACAATCATCAAGTCAACAAGTCTAACAGAAATCAAGTAGCTTTATTAATACTTTAATAAATAAGTTACAAAAACTTACTGGTAATTCTTACATTGCAAAACATTTATACATTGCTGATTTTTTATAGAAATTAAAAAATAAGTTAAGTAGTACTGCAGTCATTGTCCTTTGTGATTTTTCAGAAAATTATAAGTTTGTACAAGACGAAGTAAAAATTTTTCACTGGAACAAAATTCAATTGTAGTTTAATATAAAGTAAATGTCATCAAATGTGATTCAATATGTTTCATTTCAGATGATTTACTGCATGATGTAGAAGATAATGTCATCAAATGTAATTCAATATGTTTCATTTCAGATGTTTTACTGCATGATGTAGAAATGGTATATCATGCAATTAAATTAACAATGGAACAAATTAAAAGTAATATTTCTCATCAAATAGAAACTGTTTATTACTTTTTAGATAGATGTGCTGGCCAGTACAAAACTGCAAACACTTCATAAATATATGCCACAAATTTAAATTTTTTTTCAACAATTTTCAACAAAAATGTTACCAAGCACCCTCAGCAATCGCAATTTCATTTCATTAAGTAACATAAAAATTGGAACTAAAGTTGTTTCTGAGCAATCGCAATTTTATTTCATTAAGTAACATAAAAAGTTGTTTCTGAACAAAAAGATTTGTTTTTAATTTTCAAACTGATTATTAAAGATTGCTTGCCTAATGTAAGCATTAAAATGTTTGATTTATAATAACAATCCATGGATTGGACTACAGGAGGATATTGATGTTGAAAATAAAGACTTTTTAGATTCATGCATCCATTTTACCCTTCAAACTCATATTGTCGGCCTTCTAGAGATGGTTTGTGCTGGGTTACATTACCAAACTTATTCTTAATGATTAATATTCCAACAACTGTCACAGGAAGAAAATACAAAATCACTGAAATTGATCACCAAAGCATTAAAGAAAGCTGAATAAACTTTACACCAGAGAACTAATTTTTTATAAAATTATTAAAGATTGTTAATTCTTATTTTAATATTTTTTATTACAATTTAATTATTTCCATGGTTTATTTTTGTAATTTCAATATTTTTGGGATTTAGAATTATAAAACTTTAAATGCAAATAAATCTGATTTAAAAAAGATTACCCTTGCAGTTCTTTGTTTTATGGCATTTGTTACATATAGAACATTAGGAAAAAATTTCATAATCATATCTTTCAGGCAACTCAAGATAAACCTTTTTTGTAAGGGGCATCAAAAAACTTACAAAAAGTATTACATTATTTTTGAAATTAAATTCTCATGTAGAAGCTTTAATTTTTTATTATTTTAGCCATCATTTTTGAATTCAATATCTCTGAAACCATAAGAAGTCAGACATTAAAATTTGGAGTGATGTTTTCTTTCATTAATATAAGCTTGTATTCCAAAAATCATCAAAATCTGAGATGGTATGGTACCGAGCATAAATTGAATTGAACTGGAATGAATTATCAGGTATTTTTAAGCTACTCTTTCCAGAAGAAAGAAAGATAGAAACAGAAACTAAAGAAACTTTTTTTGCATTTCAAACAATTTTTGTTAAAAAGAAAATTTGCAACTATTATTGCGATTTTATTAAAATTTTTGAGAGACTATTTTTGAGATAAAAATGCATAAATGTCATAAATATATTTTTGAGAGACATATATGTATATTTTAAATTGTTTACACTTTTAGAAAAAAGTCAAAAAAAAAAAAAAAGTACCAGTTTTTAATTTGTTTGAGCAGCGTACATTTAAATAAATCAAAATTATAAGATACCTGAAGAGATGTGTTTGCAAAACTTGATTTAATAAATGTATCAATGGTTTCAAATGATGAAGTATGACACCTAATTATAATGATATATCCAACACCATATCTAAAATAAATTCAAAGAATACAAATTCTTTTTTATCCTTTCAATAACAAAACTAACAAAATAAAAACATCCTACTTGCTTAAATTAAAAACAGCCTACTTGCTCCTTAGATGCTGGGGACTTCCTATGCATTTAAATTCTCCATTCACCATTATTGCAATTTGAGAACATAATGTTTCACATTCTTCCATGCTTAATGTTGAAATTTGTTTAACAAATTAAAAATAATAACAGTAAATGAAATATATATATATATATACACAAAAAATAGATTTATACTTATGTGATGTTATCACAACAGATTTCCCTGCTTTTAACAAGGAGTTTATAACATTCCAAAGAAATCTACGAGCACCTGGATCCATTCCTGTTGTTGGCTCATCCTATACAACACAAGACATTGTTAATAAAATGATTATAGTACATAATAATGAATGAATATCCTATGATAATACTTTAATACTCACCATTTCTTTGTTTTCAACAATTAGTTTAATTACTGAACAAAAGCTTAGAAAATATAATCAACAAATAAATGTTAAAGATAATTATCAAGAGTATGATAATTTTAAGTAATTGACTAAATATACCTAGGTTCAGATAAAGTAGTTTTGAGTTAAAAAGAATTTTTGTTTTTGAAAATTTTACATTGATTTATATTCAAAAAAACCTCAAGTTACATTTTAGGTAAGATTACATCTCAGTCATATTATTTAACAAATTGCAAACTATATCTTATCTTGCAGTACTATCTTTTTCATATTTGATGTCCGAATTATTTAGAAAATTAGAAGTTCTTTGCAACAACCTTATTTTTGAGATAGGTAACAAAATTAAACTCATGAAACATAAAACATAAAAAGAGTTAAAAAAAGAATAATAAAAAGAGTTAAAAAAAAAGAGTTAAGAAAAAAAAAGAGATGCTAATATATATTGCTTAATGCAAATGATGCCCTTTCTCTTTTAAACAAGGTGCAAAAACGTATTGTAAACATAGTTGAACCTGCTCTTGCAACCAGCCTCCAAGCATTATCACATCGTCATAATGTTGCTTCTATTTCTCTTTTCTACAAATACTATAATGGGTGCTGCTCGAAAAAGCTAGCGCCTCTTCTGAAGAACTAATGTTCCTTAAACATTAGTTCTTTGGAATTCGCTCCTTTCATCTTGTTTTTCTGATTCACATAATTTGCAATCTTTCAAGTCATCTTTTAATTGTTATCCTACTTTATAAACTTCATCTTTTCTCTTACAACTCTAATAGTGGTTGCAACTTACAACTCTAATAGTGGTTGCTTGCCTTGTTGGAAGTGAAGGTTACCTCACAAAGAGAAATTTATTTACAAATTAGAAATTCTTTCTAAAACTCATTTTCATTGTGAAAATGAGTTTTAGAAATGTGTTATAAATTGTACAACAAATCTAAATAACGCGATATAAATATAGTTATGGAATAATTAAACATTCTTTGTAGTATTTCAAAAGAATTTCATAATGTTCTATGTTTATTTCAAAAAAATTTCATGATGTTCTATGTTTACTTCAAAGAATTTCTTGATGTTCTATGTTTATTTCAAAAGAATTTTGTGATGTTCTTTGTTTATTTCAAAAGATTTTGTTTCGTTCTTTGTTTATTTGAAGCTGAATCTTAATTTTGCATATGCTACTGTTTTTAAAAATTATTCCACTGCATATGTGTTGAGATTGAACCTTTGTATTCCTATGTATTAAAAGATTGTATTCCTATGTATTAAAAGATTGTATTCCTATGTATTAAAAGATTGTATTCCTATGTATTAAAAGATTGTATTCCTATGTATTAAAAGATTGTATTCCTATGTATTAAAAGATTGTATTCCTATGTATTAAAAGATTGTATTCCTATGTATTAAAAGATTGTATTCCTATGTATTCTCATTTTGCATTTCTCTTCCTATCCACTATTCTACAAAAATTTTCAACAATAACAACAAATTTTAGTGCCCTATAAAATCTTTCAACAATAACAACAAATTTAAGAACCCCATAAAATTTTAATAATTACTCCAAACCTTTATATTAAAATTGAAGACCTCTGGGATAATTACAAGACATATCTTGTAACATATCTGGCATAATAATAATATTAAAAAGTCTGGGGTGCTTATTAGTGGGATACCCTCCAGAGGTGCTCCTTTTTTAAATTGCATTTAAAGTAATAAATACAAGTCAAATTGTGATTGCATGTTTACAATTAAGGCTATTAAATAAAAAATATGTTAAAATTATATAAAAGAAAATGTTTTAGAATTGAGCATCAATTTATTATAAAAAAAGTAGACTAAATATTATTTGCTTTCAATTAATCATTGAATTAAAAGTTCTTTGCCAATAAAACTTTTAAATATTTAAAGATTTAATAGACTTTTGGATAACTCATCATAACATTCCTTTCCGTTGATCTAACTAAATAAAAAGTTCAGTATTAAACACCATTTCTTTATTATATTGCAACTGTAAATATTGAATTATTAACTTGAACTAAATTTACTTATTATTTAGAACGACTAAGCAATAAAAATAAAATTCTCTATTATTATGTATTCCTCTAAAATTATGCGAGATTGTGTTGTTTATTTGATAACTGTTGTTGGTAATGTTGTTTATGTTGATTATTTTCATAAATATCAAAATAGTTCCAGATTAATCTGTTCGTTGCTTTGCTCATTGTTGATTTATTTCTAATTTAATTTTATCTCAAACTATAATTATATATTAAAAAATAAAAGTTTTTATTTCATCGGGCGCTCTTTTTATAAAAGAGTAGAATAAAAGAGAAAGAAAAGTTTCGCGCAATTAAACTTTGAATGAATAAGAGTTGTAAAGAATATATATTTTTTTTGCGTCACTCGTTCTTTTTTTAGATGGGAGAAATAAAAGTTTAATAGCTTAATTTTCTTTGAATAAATGAGAATTGGAAGAGAAAATTGCTTGAAAATTTGTATTTGTTAATTGTGTTTTTAAAAATTTTTAATTTTTCATGTTAAGAGACAAATGCCAATTACGACACAAATTTGGAAATACCAAATATAATATGTTTTTTAATGCGCGTTATGACATTTTAACAATTTAAACTACCATCTATCTTGAATTATTGCCTTTAATTAATGTGTTAATTATTGCGTTATTTAATAATAATTTGTCCGTATTTTGGTTAAATATTAGTTGTATAAAACGGGCAAAAATATACAAACTTCATGTTTTTTATTTGATGGTTATAAAATATTGAACAGTAAACTTATAATCAAGATTTATAATGCCGACTTGTGTTGCAATTAATTGTACTTTTAATGCAAAATCAGGATCTCACATATCCTTTCACGAATTTTCATATCTGATACTACTGTCAAGTGTTAAAAAAAAAGTACAAAAATACACTAAACTATTGTTTAGTGTACTAAACTATTGTTTAGTGTATTCTTGTATTTTTTTTCATAATCTTAACAGGTTCTAATTGGTATGGAGTTGCTGACATTTTAAAAATTTCATTATCAAAAATCAAATGTAAAATAAAATGGTATTTCCTTTTTATCTGTATCCAATTCAGCAAATTTAGCAATTTAAATTAAATCAGCGTTATCAAAAAAATTTTATAATAAAAAAAGTTAACAGTTCATTAAATATCTCTAATTAATACTGTTAGTTTATGAAAGTAATTGTTAATAAATACTTTTTTTCAACGGGAAAACAAAAAATTGTCATAGCCTAAAAATAACCAGAGAAGTTAGAAAATAGTTCCCATTGTTTATTAAGAATCAGAATATATAATACAGCGCTCTCTTGCGCTAAAACAAGAGACCGTATATAAAACGTTCTATATAATGTAAAATACTTGTATGAAAATCACGAGATTGGTAAGTAAAGCTATATTATTAATATTTATATATTATAAATATTTATATATTATATCTAATATTTATATATTATATCTATAATATTTGTTTAAATTTAAATAATTAAAGAAATATAAGTAAGATATATAAATCTAAAAATTATTGAGATATCTGTAAAAAATAAGTTGCTCCTATAAAATAAAAATAATTAATTGTTTTTACTTTTTACAAATTTTTTTTTTTTTGCGATGTTAAGAAAAATAATACAAATAAATTTGTTTTGCTGTATGTTAAAAAAATACTACAGTAGAAAAACGTAGCTTAGTTTAATTACACTTTTCTTTTGTTAAAAGTCTATCGTGATGTCAAATACTAAAACTTTTATGAATTAAACGTGCTTCAAAGGAATTGCCAAAGTCTGTAGATTGCGACGCATAATTTGAAGACTCCGAGTAGTTGAAAAAATGGAGAAGACGAGCTTCGGCAAAAACAACAACATTTGTTTTTCATTGTATGCATTCATTATTTATTTTTAATCAAAAAAATTTGGTTCAAACCTTTTTTTTTAACATTATCTTTAATATGAATACAACATGTGTTGAGAGTTTGGGATCCCTTTAAACATTGACTCTTTGATGAAAAAGTCTTTTGATGATCTATCAGTACCTTTTATCTATGTATATTTTCACATAAAAATGCAGTTTATCATATTTTTGTCTGAATAAATTATTCTAAATGCTTTGTTATTGTCTCTTTAAAATTTTCTTTTTCCTGGTTTCTTAGTTAACAACTTGTTTTTAGATATGCTATCATATCCTAATAAAAACAATATTGAAAAAAAATATATAAAAAATAACTTGTAGAAGAAAAGTAACTGTAAAATTTTTACCAAAAAAATTAATGGAGGTCTTCCTATAAGTGCAATTGCTGTAGAAAGCTTTCGCTTATTGCCGCCACTATAATCACCACATCTTTTATCTTTGTACTGAGATAATCCAAGTGTGTGTATAGCCCAATTTGCAGCCTGAAAAAAAAATTTCATAAGAATAAGAAAGGATGTTTATACATAAGATTCAACCTCTCAAGGTATTACTATTTAAATTTCAAACTCTAAAAGGTTTAAACTGAAAGAGATAAACTTTCATATAAAAAGATTTCTAAATCTTATTCTAGAAAAAAAGTCTTATTTATGTAAAGTGTTTATGTATCAACAACAAATAAGTATGCCTCTTTTACCTAAAGTGTGGTAAAAGTCTGTAAAAAATGAGATGTGTCTCATTTTGAAATACTTGAAAAAATGAGATCCAAGTAATGTATGCTAAGTAGTGATTTTATTAAACCTTATGTGCTGCAGTTATGATTTTATTAAATCTTATGCGGTCAGTATGAATGTAAATAATACTACTATATCAGCTAAAGAAACATGCTACAAATTTCACACTTTATAATATTAAATCTTAAAATTATTGAGTTTTACTTGATTCTTAAAATCATAGTAGCAGTTTAGGACTAAATACAAAAGATATAAACTTCTAAAACCTCAAATACTAAAAAGCTCTATGTGAAAAAAAATAATTGCTTTTATGCTTTAATAAAACAGTTATTTTTTTATCAACATATTTATAAAAAATTATTTATCAACATATTTATAAAAAAAGTACAAAATAACTTAGTTCTGAGTGCAGAACAGCTCAGTTCTGAGTGCAGAATAACTTAAATAATAATAATATCACAAAGGTTATTTTACAACACAAACCAACAAAATATTTTTTACTTTTATGCTTTCAGCCATATTTAGTCCACGAAGTTGAGCAAAATATAGAAGCAATTCATTCCCAGTTAAAAGCTCATCAATAGCATCAAATTGAGGACAATAACCCATTGAGCGATAAACATCAGTCAAATGCCCACTAACACTAATATAAAATAGTTTAAACTTTTCTTTACAAATGAATTGCAAATGGATTATAATATATATAATTATTAAATATAATACCTCTGGTTATTTATAAATGCATCACCATCTGTTATATTAATATCTCCTGTCAACATTTTAAAAGTACTTGTTTTTCCAGCTCCATTTACACCAAGTAAGCCAAAACACTAAAAATATTTTTTAAATTTTGTTATATTATTTATACAATAAAACAAAATAATGGTTATTAAAACACAAATGATTACCTCCCCTTCTTTTACACCAAATGTTAATTGATTAACAGCCAGTATTTTCTTTTTTCTCATAAAATCTTTATAAACCTAAACATTTTAAACTTCTTATTAACATTTTTGTTGAAAAAAATTCAAAGAATTATTTGATTATTTTGATTTAAAAAAATTTGAAATATAAAAATATTGGTGGATATAAATAGATTGCAATTTTTTCTAATTTTTAATTAGAAAAAATAGTGATGAGAATATAATACACATAACAACAATTAGATTTTCTTTGATTATTTAAACTATAGTTAATTATTTAAACAAATTGAAAAACTTTATATAACTATATATATAACTATATATATATATATATATATATATATATATATATATATATATATATATATATATATATATATATATATATATATATATATATATATATATATATATATATATATATATATAACTATTTTCATAGAAATGAGTTAATATATATACTCATTTCTATGTTTTACGGTATGACCTTTGTATCAAATTTTTTTTGCCGATCTGATGCTGACCAACACACACACAATGAATTAATTAATATTTGGGAGTCTGTTGTAGCCAATGATTTAACATGTGTCATAAACATGCCATAATTTTCATGTGTCATAAACACGCCATAATTTTCATGTGTCATAAACACGCCATAATTTTCTAAAGCAATTTTCATTGCTTTGTACTTGTGATGAATCCATTGAGTTCTGAGAGCTTTTGTTGGTTTCAGAACGCTATTACCTCAAGCTTTGGTTAATTAATGTAGTTCAGAGCAACGCTATGGTAACTTTTGCTACAAAAAACAGAGTTATAATAATTCATCAAAAGTTTTGAAGAAAGTTAAACTTTCAAATGCATCTTTTAAAGCTATTTCAAGTTGATGGTTAAAGTATAACTTCCAGCTAAGGCAAACCTTCCTTTAGTAATGCACTTAAACTAGCATAAATTTCCAGATTAAGGTTTGCTTCACCAAGGTTTACGCCTATTAAATATTTATAAACATCGTTAATACCAAATCTTGCAAAAGCATCTATTATACATTTTTTATTCAACTGCATTAGAGTTCTCTGTTTTTTCAAGAGATAAAATTATAATACTCCATTGGAGTATTATAAATATTGATGCCAAACTTAATGTTGTTTGTCTATGAATTTGAGTGTCCTTTTTATGCTGTGCACTGCTTAAATACTAAGTCAGGGAGTATTTTTTTATTGATATTGTGCCTGGTTTGATCGAGATCATAGAAAAAAACTTGTTTACTTTTAGACAAGCTGCATCATAATCTAATTATATTGAGTCCATCATACTCCAACTCGTATTTAAAATGTCTCTCCCACTTCTTTACTGCAGATAGTCTACTCATATGATCCTTATTTGCATCCATTTATTGATCAATTTTAAAATAAGTAAATATATTAATGAAGTGTTTTTTTATCACTAAAAAGCTGATTGAATTGCGTTGACACTATTTTTCATTTGAACAACATTAAAAAAATAGCTATAAAAAGTACTTAAAATGAATGAGCGATTTTCGAATAACGCACTTGAGAATTTTGGTTGAAAAATTTACTTTTTAACCAATTAACTTTTTTTTCCTTACTTTGTTGTTGGAATAAAGCCCTTGAGAGTTAAGGCTGAAGTTAACTTTTGGAAACTAACTTAAATTAACTTAATATGACTTTTTTTTTTCCGGTGACAATTTGTGGACAAACATCATAGTTTATGTGGACATGCATCATACTTTGTTGTTGGAAGCCCTTGAGAGTTAAGGCTTTTCTTTCTTTTTTTCTTTCCTTTGTTTTAAATTTGTTAAGATATGAAAATCTATTTTAATAGATATGAAAATCTATTTTAATTTAAAAAAGAAATGCTTTTATTTAAAAGTTTAGTGTGACTATGAATTAGAATTTATTCAAAGTTAAAAACCTAACAACAATAATTAAAAATTAAAAAACTCACACAATAATATTTATTTTGAATTTTTAAAAATGGCCAAAAAAAATACTAATTAGAAGGAAAAAAAACAAATTCAAAAAAAAAAATCGCAAAGGTGAGGAAAGGAATCGCAATTCACAAACACGATATGCTTAATTTGAGCTTGAGATTACTGTTTTATAACATTATCTGCTGCAGATAACTTTTCATTATATAAATATAAAGGATGTATTTTAATAACCAAAATAATTTTTTTTTAATTTATTAATTTATTTTTATAAATATTGTTAAAAATTTTAAACTCAACTTTTTTTAATCTAAGCTGTACCTTTTTATGATCAACCTATTTATCCACTTTTTATTCAAACAATTCAAGCAACTACAAATGTTAACTATGAATCGTAGTTAACGTTCATAGATCAAAAATTGACCTTTAAATACCTTTGACAGTTTAAATGCCTTTAGAATAAATTTTTTTCCTTCGCTTTCTTCTTTAGCAATTCGATGCTCTTCTTTTGAAACATCTTCATCAATAATTCTTTTGTGCAAATCTTTCTTTAATGGATATACCCTTTTAAAAATAAAATATATATATATATATATATATATATATATGTATATATATATATATATATATATATATATATATATATATATATATATATATATATATATATATATATAAATGTATTTATAAAGTTAAATCTTAGAGTAAATTGATTTAACAAAAAAATTAACTTAATAAATTGTAGAAAGAAATATAATATATGTTACTTATATGTAAATATAATTACATGTTATAAAAAAAAGCAATAACTTAATGTCAATATCTGAAAAATGAAGTTTAATAAAAATGTGTTTTTATTTTTAAGGCTACTAGTAATTTGGATCAATTTCCATGATGCTATTTCTTATTTATATAAAACATTATGGAAGATTTATATAAAACATTATGGAAAAGTTTAAGCAATTTTTTACAACCCACTGCCCTTTCCTAGCATTAACTTACTTCACAGTTCAGAACTGGAAATTTTAATGGATACTACCACTAGGAGGATTACCATCTAAGGTTTATTAGCTTCTCCTACCCTCTTAATATAAATTAAATTAAGGGTTCTACATCAAAGTTTTCCTAATTCTAGGTAAGGTCTAAGAATCACCTATTTCAATATAGGATTATTTGAAATTTATGACCAGAACTTAAAGAGTTAAAAAAAAGAAAAAACAACAGATTAATGAATAAAAAAATAATCATTAAACTAAAAAACAACATAAAAATTTTAAACAGTAATTATCAGAACTAATAAAACATTAACTATCAAAACTAACCATGGCTTTTTGAAAAAGTTGTATTGACACAGCAGTGTAAAGAAAAAATAGATAAATCCACTGACAGCCATTGCAAATATGTTACGGCCAGTTATCTCCCATGCAAACGGATCTTTAAATGAATCTAAACCTACATAAAAGAAACATAAAAGTTTTTAATTACATAAAAAATAAAAAACAGTAATATTAAAAAGTTGTAAAAAAAGAATAGCTAAAAAAAAACTGATAAAAATATTAAATTAAAATGGATGTGATAAAATTTACACTTTAAAAACAATTTCATAGAATTATAAATCCTATTTTAATGATCTTATATTTATATTAACTTTTTGATATATGATGTTTTCAACAAATATATATTACAACTTCTATAATAATTGCCTTAATATTGTATTTCTAATAAAAATTTCACTTCAACTACTGTTCAAGTTTGGAGTTACTAGAAAGCAAATTTCACATCCAACAAAGCTGCAAGCAACTACTATTCCAGTAAGGAATTACTAAAAAGCAAAGAAAAAAATTAAAAAGTAACAAAGTGTGCAGCTAGAGCACGTTTAACTACATTTCTAAAAATGTTTTTGGATTTCGTTTAAAAGAGAGAGAGAGAGCATTATATGGCAACAATATTCCATACGAGGATGAATAAAAGATTTATAGAGATAATGAAATTAGGAATAAAAAAGTTTTAAACGCCATAAAAGGTTACTTTGCTAGTTACTAACTATGGTTTAGACTTTATTTACTTAGACAGCTACATTTAGACAGTTTCCACAAGAGAACAGTGGTGAAAGGCCAATCTAAAGTTATAGAGTAAAAGCCAAGTTATAGAGTCAAATCAATCACACAACTTTAACGATCAATAAATTTTAATAACACCAGAACAGATATAATATTAAAAAAAAAAAAAAAACACCATAGGAAAGAGAATCCTTATTTAAATATTTCAAAATAAAATTCATTTTTCAGTCATTATACTTTTACAAAAAAATTTGGTAAATATTTGCTTTCTTCTTCTATTTGCTTTCTTCTTTTATTTGTTATTGTATTAATTTAGGAACCAAATTTCATTTAAAAATAATTTTACCCGCATCGATTGCATAATTTTTTTCATTTTATAGGTAAAAATAAGACAAAAAAATAAAGAAAATTAATATTCTATTTTTTCTGGTAAAACCAGTGGCATTCCTAGTTATGGTGTCACCCGGGGCGGCAAATAGGGTGTCACCCATTCATTATATATAATTATTTTTATATACGAAATTATTAAAGCAGTATTTAGAAACGTTGACACATATAATTTTAAACCTTGTTTTCGACAATAATAATTTAGTGTCTATAACTCTCTATAAATAATTCTCGTCTATAACAGAAAAAATAATTATTTGAAAATAAATTGTTGCCAAATAATTATTATCTCTGTTTTAGAAGATAATAAATTATTATCATCTAAAATCGTCTAAAATAAGCTTTATTCTTTTATATGCTTAAAAAAACAGTAGTACCTGGATTTGATTTGATAGTAAAGTATAATAATAAAATAGCAAACCTACTGGTTTTTTAACTTCTTATCTGTGAAAAATAAGTTAAACGTTCACTTACCCTTTGTTAAATACGCAGACCAGTCCTATAAATGAACCTATGCCACTGATGTGTTCATGTATAACAACATATTAATGTACTTAATTATTTACTATCTATATGAACTAAATATATTTTTTTAAATAATATGCACAAAAGTTTGAACTTTGTATAGTTTTTATTTACTATGCAATCACTACACTAACTTTTAATCACAAAACTAAATTTTTCAAACACTAAACTAAATTTTTTAATCATTATATAATTATTATCCTAAATTTTCATAACACTTAACCTTTAAAATGTTCCTTTTCTTACTTTTAAACTTGCAAATTTATCAATTACGTTATCAAAGTCAATGCTTTTGACAAACTCACTCTCTATATATAATATTGCAAGATCAGAAAGTCTTGATTGGCCCATAGTTGATCGTAAAAAATTTTTTATCAGTTTTAATTTTGAAAAGCTCCTTTCCCATGATGCAACGGACATGCAAATAGTTAAGAATAATCTTAAGGTAAGAGAAAGCATTGGAAGCGTTTCTGTGAAGTCCCATTCTGTGATGAAAGTCAAAATATCTAAAGCTGTCCAATTTTTAACTACTTCTAAATTAATTCCTGCTGCTTTAAGATGTCGCTTGAGTCGTGGAATTTCCAAAATTAGTTCATCATGGGATATTTCATCATAAAATGAAGTTAATTTTTTAATACAGTAGCTTTCATAAATTTAGATGCATTCATTTTTTTTTTCATATATGTAAGAAAATACTCAAAATAAAAATAAAATAAAAGTGCTACCACTATGTTTGATATATAATTTAAATGAGGAAGTGAAACTCTATCATAGAGTACCTTAATTTTTTTTACAGGATGTTTATTACTCATTCTATACCGATTAACACAAAAAAGTTCATTGATAAGCTTGATTTTATTTTGTTCATAAATTTAGACGCACAATCAAAAAAGTCTTATATCTTGTTAATTGATAGTTAATTAGTAGTTTTTTCCCATATTTCTCATTAATAGGCCTAAATTAATTGATTTTGTCAAAAAACCTTACATAAATATGACTTACCTGGAATTAGTTAATCATTATTTAATAAATAAACAAAAGTTAAGTTAGTTTTGCACTAAAAAGACGCGAAAAATGGGCAAAAGACGTATCACTCAAGGTGAAAGATGGCAAATTATTGCGCACATCAAAGAAGGAACCAAAAGTAATAGAGAAATTGCCAAGTTAATTGGATTTTCTGAGAAATGCGTTCGGACAACGAAACAAAACTTTCTTCACACTGGTGGTGCCAGCGAGAAAACGAGGCCAGGTAGACCCTTGTCAACCACCAGAAAGGACGACAGTGTTCGTTTTAGAGCTGTCAGAGCTAATCCAAGAATTAGTTACAAAGAATTGACCACAGAATTCAATACAATGCGAAATACATCTATTTCTCAAAGCATAGCCCACCGAATACTTATCAAATACAAGATTGGAGTCTACACTGCTTTGAAGAAACCGCTTCTGCGTCCATATGATAAACAAAGGAGACTAAAATAATTTCGGCATCGATTGTATTATTAGATTTTAAATTTGTTTCCAGAATCTTCCATTTTTCCAAAAATCGCAAATGATTGTCAGATGATTCATGCTCATATACTTTTGGATTTAATTTCCACCATTTTTGAAATCCAGTGACGAATTTTGATGTCAAATTGGTAATATTACTGGCAAATAATTGACAACAAAAACAGTATAAATTTCCACTGTTGGGTGAATATGCCATCCATGAACGTAAAATTTTTTCACCATTTTTCATTTGTTTATAAAACCATTCAGAGGAAAGATGACGATCATGGCCTTTCATTTGAGTGACAGTTCGTTGTACTACATTAAGTGGTCCATCTTTGTTTTGAAATGTAGAACTTCCCTTTTTAATAATCTCAATTTGAAGATGGTCTTGAAGCGGTAATTTCCAAAAAGAGACGTCAGAAAAGACTTTAAAGTTAGTTTTTAATCATGTTTCTCTAAATCGGTGATTTCTAATACTTGTGGAGATTCAGCTTCATTTTCTTGGTCCTTTTTTTCCATGTCAACAGTGAAGGTGCTATTATTAGAAGTTTCATTTTCACTTTCTTCTACTACTAATGGAGTTTGTATCAAAGTACTATCTTTTGAAGAACATTGGCCGTCATTTGGGTTATCTATGTATTGAAGTATTGACCCTGCATATTTTTTAAGGGATTTAAGTTTAGCTTCCTTTAATTTTCTTTGTTGATGTCCACTTAATCTCTTCATTTTATGCACCCCACGCGGCATTGTTATACAAAGTATTTAAAACTTTAAACTAAATATTAAAACAAAATTTTAAAACTTACAATTTAAGCACTAAAAACTTTTTAAATTAAATGGTATTTATTAAGCACTAAAAACGAAAAATTAAAACAATTAATAATATACGATATTGTTTCAAAATGTATCTATTACAAAGTCACTATAAGTCACGATGTTCTGCAATGTGATGCAGTACTAACATTGATAAAATATACGAATAAGACTAAGAAAGCTGATAAAGTGAAAAACGGTTAAAATCACACCCACACAAAGTTATCCAAACCCAAACAAAATTTGAGTATGTTTTGATTATGAAGAATTTTTTTAGACGACATTATGTCTTTATTTCATTTTGTTTATATTATAAGAAGAAAGCTAAGCGATTATATTTTCTAAATAATGATAACTATATCTTTCAGCATTCAGCATTTCGTAGGTCGTGTAAATAAATACCCATTCTTTTTTTGTAGGTCGTGTAAAATAAATACCCATTATTTTTTTATGTAAGACTGTTTAATTATAAACCAAAAGAAAATATAAGATATTAATAAATTGGGTGTCACCCAAAAGTGGATGACACCCAGAGCGGTGAGCCCCCCCCCCGCCCCTGTTGGTATGCCACTGGGTAAAACCAATCATTCGCATATTTGCTTTAAATTTTAAATTTATTACCCTAGTCAAAAAATCTTATAGGATCTTATAGCAATCCTATAGATGCTATAGGATTCCTAAAGGATTCTTATAGGTATCCTATAGGTTTTATAGAAAACCTTTAGGCACTATGGGACAGCAATAGGAATCCTATTGCAATCTAAGAGATCCTTTAGGATTGCTATAGCACTGTTATAATTCCTATAGGTATTAAATTAGGTTCTATAGGAATCCTAATGCAATCCCATAGTTCCTATAGGATTCATATATGTATCTTATAGGTTCTATAAGATTTATATAGGACTTACAGCATACCTTTTTGATTGCTAATACACTTTTATAGGTTCTATAGGATTCATATATGTATCCTATAGCTGCCATAGGGTTCCTATGGAACCAATATGATACCTATAAATGCAATTACAGTCCTATAAGTCCTATAGGATTCAAATAGGAAGACTATAGAAAACTATGAATAAAACTGTAATAGTGTTAATAGTGTAATCCTATATAAATAATATAATTCCTACAAGATTTATAGGACTCCTATAGAAATAAACCAATATCCTAAAGAAAGTAATTGTCTTTAATAAGTTCTATTAGATTTTATAGGCTTTTTAAATATAAAATACAATTGTAAATTAATTTTCATTTAACATTACAACATGTATTTGTCAATTTCAAGCAAATTAAAACCTAATAGAATTTAATATATTTAATTAGGTTTTAATTTGCTTAAAATTATTTTGCACTTAATAACAAAACTTTTTATTAATCACATAAATTTCCCATATTTTTTAGTGAAGAGGCGGCGTTGCAGATTAGTTTGATCATAAATTTAAATTTTTTAAAATAGCCAATAGCGCTTCCATAAGCTTAGCGTATTCATGGCTTTAAAAATTATTATTGGTTAAATTTATTTTGAGTCATTTTAAAATAATGTTGCTTTTGCAAAGTGTACATAAAACTTTAATACTCAGTTGAAATATAAATTGAAATTTATTTAATAATAGTCTTAGTAATCCGATACATAAGGAGTCTTAGTAATCCGATACATAAGGAGTCTTAGTAATCCAATACATAAGGAGTCTTAGTAATCCGATACATAAGGAGTCTTAGTAATTCGATACATAAGGAGTCTTAGTAATTCGATACATAAGGAGTCTTAGTAATCCGACACATAAGGAGTCTTAGTAATCCGATAAATAAGGAGTCTTAGTAAATTAAATGATTGGATTTTTTCACGAATTAGTTTTGGTTTATTCATTTATAAAGTTGTTAAACAAAAACCAATAAATAATATTTATGAACTATTCACTTAATTTATTAATTATTCAAGATGTCAACAAGTAAAAAGTCATACAATGAAGATGTAACCTATATCAGCTGATATAAAAGAAAAAAATACTTTGATCAGAAAAGCTGCATTCAGATATGGCATTCACATCTCAACTTTAATAGGTTGCAGGAACATCTCATATTCATCTCATATTGTTTAGCTGTTGAACAGTGGTGTATATTACAATGTTAAATAAGTATAGAAGGCAGTTTTTATCAATTCTAACAAAAATACAAAATGCAAGAATTTATATCAAAAATCTTTTCTCTATTGCTCAAACAGGTGTGTGAGAGTGGCCAATATTTTACACATTTGCAAGTTATCTCTGGTTTACAATATACTGAGTTATTTCCATTCTATATATATAATCAACCAACACATTCAACATCATTGCCAACAATACAACAGCTTCATGATGCAGCAGGTATAAAGCACTACATGAAAGAAGGAAAAGCCTTTCTTTTATTACATGAAACAAACCAGCAGTACAAAAAGAGGATATTAGTTGTAAAAGAGTAATTCATTAAATTCATGATAAAAATTAAAAAATTGTTAATTTAAGACTTAAAGATCTTGATAATAATAGTAAAAAGACTGGACAATAGTTAGAAAAATGATAAGACAACAGTAAATAGACTTGACATTAGTTAAAGGTGATCTCAAGAGTTTGTAAAAATAGGAACCACAGATCTTGTTTTTGAGCTGATAGCAAAACAAGATTTAGCTGAGCACTTTATAAATAGGTGGAAAAAGTATTGATTGAAAAGAAGAGAGTTGTGGAGAACACATTTGTAGAAATGGAATATTTTGATTATCAAAAATTTTAGAAGAAGTGAAATACTTTAGCAACAGAAACAGAACTTCTAACAATGAAACAGACAATGGATTACTTGTTTCTCTAGAATATCAGGAAAAATGATCAGAAAAGTTATAGTTAGATTCAAGTAATCAACAAAAAGAAAAGTTTTTTTCAAACAGTTCTGCCATATACTTGGGAGCTGTAATAAGATCAGACCCATAAAAGAATTCTTAAATTGAAACAGTTGAAAAAGTTAATAGGAATGAGTTGATTAAAAGAGATAATATGATCATGCAAATGTTAATAGAAAGTCTAACACTCATTTTTTCATGGATTTTAATTCATGAAAGAGTGAATGTTAGACTTACTTTTTTAAATGCCAAAAAAATAACCTAGCAACAAGAACAATGAATCTTTGCGCTAGATAATCTAACAACAAGATCAATGAATCTTTGTGCTAGATAATACCTTTTTGCATAACAAAAATATAAAAATAAATAACAAAAAGAAAATTGAAATGACTGATTGAAATGATTGATTGAAAATAAAATAATTATGATTAAAAATAGCAGTTCTTCATAGAGAAAATTAACAGGTGAAGTGAGGTAAAGACTAGATGAAAACCAACAAGATCAACCTAAGAGATCAAATAAGAGAAAAAATATTTATAGATTTATAAATAAATAAAAAACAATATTTAGCAGAAAAATAAAAATCAAAGGGTTGATTTTGTTTTTTTGAATCACAATGAAATTAAAAAAAAAATTTCAGTCATACTTGAGGTAGTTGTAAGAAATTATAATTTTTTTTTTAATTTGAAATTTAAACGCACAAAATGTTTTGGTGAGATAATAGTGTGGACTTATTAACCTAAAGGAGAACAAGGAGAAACTGAACACAAACTAAGGTTGAAGAAAAGATACAAGTCAAGGAATAAAAATAAGAGATTTTAGTTGTCAGGTAAATGAATCATAAATTTGACTCTATGGGTAAAAATTGAGAAAGTTTTTCAAAAGTTTTAAGTTTTAGTGGTACTTTCAGAGATACTGAAGAAAAGCTGGTTAGTATGAGTTTTACCATTTATTTGCTATTTAGTATGAGTTTTACCATTTATTTGATATTTAGTATGAGTTTTACCATTTATTTGCTATTTAGTATGAGTTTTACCATTTATTTGCTATTTAGTATGAGTTTTACCATTTATTTGCTATTTAGTATGAGTTTTACCATTTATTTGCTATTTAGTATGAGTTTTACCATTTATTTGCTTTTTAGTATGAGTTTTACCATTTATTTGCTATTTGGTATGAGTTTTACCATTTATTTGCTATTTAGTATGAGTTTTACCATTTATTTGCTATTTAGTACGAGTTTTACCATTTATTTGCTATTTAGTATGAGTTTTACTATTTATATGCTATTTAGGATGAGTTTTACCATTTATTTGATATTTAGTATGAGTTTTACCATTTATTTGATATTAAATATAATTTGAATAAACATAATAAAAAGAGTACAGCTTTCGAAAGAAAGATAACAATAAAGAAAAAAGAAAAAAGTGAATGAGTTAAGTGATACTAAACAAAAGCATGTAAAAGAACAGCCCTATAAATCAAAGCTAATTTCACAACAAATAAATGATATATCTTACATTTTACAATATACACAACAATGTGCTTTTATATTTCAAAAAATTTAAATAACTTTAAGAAGCATTAATAAATGATCATAAAGATCATATGTAAATATTAGCTCAAATACATTTAAATATTATCATTTATTTACTATTTGTAGCAATTTTCTATTTTAATATTGGCATTGTTACAATATCTGCATTATCCTCTAATTTGCATTATCCTTTATTTTAATTGAAAAAAATACAACCTTTTATTTTTTTCAAATATATATTTTAAAGGCTTTCGATTTTTCAGTTACTTTTTTATATCTTTTAAAGTACTTCAGTTAGTTTTTTCAGTTATTTTTTTACAGACCTCCAGTTATTTTTTTCAGTTAATTTTTTATAAATTTTATAAAACTTCAGTTAGTTTTTTTTAGTAATTTTTTTATATATTTTAAAGTACTTTAGTTTTTGTATCGCTTCTTAGAGCTGATGATGCAATAGTAATCATATGTAACATGTGAAAAAAATTATTTGACAAAATCTACTGTCATTTATATATAGAAATAACAATAACTGTTTAAGTTAAACACGGAAGCACAATCTTTATATAAAATGAAATTAAACAAAAAAATTTTTTTTACTGTGTGCACATTTATTACTAGACTATATAGTGTGTACATTTATTACTAGACTGTATTGTGTGTATATTTATTACTAGACTGTATAGTGTGTACATTTATTACTAGACTGTATAGTGTGTACATTTATTACTAGACTGTATAGTGTGTACATTTATTACTAGACTGAATTGTGTGCAAATTTATTACTAGACTGTATAGTGTGCACATTTATTACTAGACTGTATAGTGTGCACATTTATTACTAGACTGTATAGTGTGCATATGTATTACTAGAAAACATTTTGATTCAAAAAAACGGCTAACATAAACATAGTGAAAAAAGAAGTCGCAGTTTATAATATATTTTACTACTTTGCATTTTTAAAAAAGCTTTATTCTTTGAGGCATTGAGAAAACAGGAGACTCACTATTTGGGCATTATTTTATATTTTATTACACCATCATGTTAAAGATATCACTGATTGATATCATGAACAGTTATAATAGACTTTTCTAAACATGCAGCAATCATTCATTCAGACTTGTCGCCTTCTATTAAGTTGTACTTATTTGGCAAGTGATCTTGTACTCTATGATAATGATTGAGTTACACATGATTTTATTGTATATTAGAGCATACAATATATTTTCTTATTGATTGATAACTACACAATTAACCATGCAATGACAACAAAAGAAAATGCAAAGGCATAAGAAAGCAGGTAATATTAGAACTAAAATATAACCTGTGGGTGGAAACACAAGTTTTTAAACAACAACAATAATGCTAATACTTATAGAAATCAGTTTTTACATTTGATTTTCTGCTATTACCATGTTTTTATTAACATTTATATGATTAGGTGAACCTCTCAAAATATATTTCAGCTTTTTATGTTCAAAACCAATCATTAACACAAATAAAGTAACATTAATTAGACAGATATAACTAATAACTAATAAAAGACATAACACTTCTTACCAAATCTTTTATAAACATCAGATTTTAATTGATTTCCTGCAAGCTCCATCAGTCCTCTCCCCATACAAAAATTTGGGAAGATTAATAATACCTGTTTCAAAACATGGTTGATATTGGTAAGTTCCTAAATTTAAAATGTATAAACCTTATTAGCATTTAAAAAAATCTAAATACTACATTTACAAACATGTTAACAAAATGCATATGATTACAAGAAATATTTTTAGACAAAAAAAATAAATAGTTATAGTTAAATAACAATTGCCTGGTCTCCATCCCCAATGTATTCTAGAATAAATGTTGCAATAGTTCCAATGATACCAACAAATAAATTTGCTTGGATCATTACAATATATGCAGTACTTGGTACTTCAAACACAAAAGACATTGGATACATCAAAGGTGTCATAGCCCATCTAAAAATACTTTTACTGTTATCAAAGTAAAAACTTAATCTTTATGCTTTAGAAGCGCTACAAGCTTTACATTGTTTTTTTTTGTTTTTTTTTTTAATTTACCTCCTCAAGGCCGAGAAGGCCACTACAGATGAGGAGGCTACTTATTTGTGGTTATAACCCTCTCTCAACTCGATAACTCCGAAACACGAACCTTGACGAACAAGGCCGCTGCGCGGAGAAGCGAGTTGAGCGCGGTACTACCAGGGACGTGGTGGGGATCAAACTCGAAACCACTCGTTTATGAAGCGAGCGCTCTACCGCTACACCACTACCGCATATTTATTTACTTATTAACAAAATTTGCATCTAATATTTGAATTCACACCTAATAATCTAACACTTAGACAAAAATGTGGTATTGCCTAATACCGCAACCTAAGCACAATACTAATTAGTTATTTAATTACGAAGTTATTTATAAACTAATGAATTAAGAAGATGTTTATAAAATAACTAAATAGAATTGTAAAGGATTTTAAATAAAAGTGCAAAACTTTATTCGTTTGGCTAAAAAGAAATTTAATTTTTTAATTTTTATTATTTTTTGATTCCATAAAAAATTGTCAATAATATATGTACAAGCATTGTACATATATTATTGACAATTTTTTATAGAATCAAAAAAGGTAAAAGATAAATGCCTAAATGTCAAAAAAGTAACTTAAATGCTGTTATAGTGCCACCTTATCATCAAACCTTTTATTATGCAAGTTGTATGGTATTTAGTGTCACCTTATCATCAAATCTTTTATTATGCAAGCTGTTTGATATTTAAACAAACTGTTGTATGGTAATCAGAACAAATAACAATTTGTTGAAGTCAGGCAAGTAAGATAAATAAGACACAATTCCCAGCCAAGTTTTATCACCAAAAGTAACTCCAAAAGAGTTAATCTTGGTGGTTATTTTAGAAATAGCCATTGAATTTTGTTTGCTAAACAGTGCATAGTAGTAGGTATCTATATTTAATCTATATTTAATCTAATACTTTTAAAGTCTTCAATTAACCATTTTTAGTATTTTAATCTATCCTCTATTTTAAAGTAACTCGTAACTTAATAGTGGTTGCTTGCAATCTTGTTGGAAGTAAATTAGAGTTTAAAAATATATTAATATATAATCTTACAGAAGAAAGATCAGATTAAAAATCAGCTGCTTGTTCTAAGCAATTAAAAAGTGAAGATTTTTTGTCAAGACAAGAGTATAAAGTTGAGTTGTCAGCGAATAGAGCCACTTTAGATGTTAAATTTTTATGAAGATTGTTATTGTAGATAAGAAACATTACAGGAGCAAAAACCCTTGTGGTACCCTTAAAGTTACTTGAAAAAAAGAGAAGTGTAAGCCTAAAGAAGATAATAAGATAGATAAAGAAGAGTGTAAAGCCTTCACGAATAACTTTAATACTGCAGTTAGAAAGTAATTATTTAATATTCTCAAAAACTTTATATAAAAAACTAATAACAGAGTGAAGACAATTTGTAGGATTGTTGGAGAGGTCAAAGTGTTTTCTAGAGTTTTGAAAAATTGAAACCAATTTCTGTAGAACACTTTTTAAAGACTATGATGGAAATCTTGTCTGTTGCACAAACTGTAGAAATGTTTAATTTTAAAGACTATGATGGAAATCTTGTCTGTTGCACAAACTGTAGAAATGTTTAATTTTAAAGACTATGATGGAAATCTTGTCTGTTGCACAAACTGTAGAAATGTTTAATTTTAAAGACTATGATGGAAATCTTGTCTGTTGCACAAACTGTAGAAATGTTTAATTTTAAAGACTATGATGGAAATCTTGTCTGTTGCACAAACTGTAGAAATGTTTAATTAAGAATTAACTTTAGCATTAGAAACCTTAGTGATTTTGATGTTTAACAATGGGCTAATCTGTTTAACTCACAGGAAGAGCTGTTTAACTCACAGGAAGAGCGTGGCTATTACATTAAATTCAACTAAGATTTCTTTACAAAATTCTCTTATTTTTACAAAAAACTCTGCCTTATTCTGGGGACAAGTAAAAAGATCAGACCCATAAATTAGAGATTTAATGTTAGACTTACTTTAGTTAATGATACTGTTGAAGACTTACCAAAAGTCTCTAGAACCTAATATCTGAGATAAGAAACAAGATTTAGTAAACTGAGAACAACAGAGCTTAACACCAGACAGGACCTTTTTACATTGGCTTCTTGGAACCATAAAAGGAGATTTGTTTATAAGAGAGATGTTCTTGTAAAAATTAAAAAAATGATTTGTTTAATAAAGCAACTGCTCAAGATGGTAAAAAATGCGGAGTAGATTGATGCTTGACTTAATATTTAAGAAAAGGAATAGAAGCTTCCAAGAATTTATTCCAGAAGGAATAAAAGCTTCCAAGATGCGCTTCATATATACATATAATGGGTATAAAAATATATGTTTGCAATTTATTTAGATGTTGGCATACAATATTCTTTTATTGTTATATAAACTTTAGTATTTATATGGTATAGTATTTGCTGAAAGAGAAGATGATCAGATGGATGTGTGGTGATGTGAGAAGATGATCAGATGGATGTGTGGTGATGTGAGAAGATGATCAGATGGATGTGTGGTGATGTGAGAAGATGATCAGATGGATGTGTGGTGATGTGAGAAGATGATCAGATGGATGTGTGGTGATGCGAGAAGATGATCAGATGGATGTGTGGTGATGTGAGAAGATGATCAGATGGATGTGTGGTGTGACTCAAGCAAGACAAGAAAAGGAATAATCTTAGACAGAAAAAATGTATCAAACGTTTGTTAGAAAAGATTAAAGTAATTTAGATATCAGTATGTAGAGAGGTAGTGGTAGAAGTAAGTAAACTAGAAGAAAGTGTCTTAGATATTATATGAATAAGCTTTAGTTAAGAAAAAAAAAAGGTGCAGATTGTTTATATTAGACAAACAGCATAAATGAGGAAGGCTAAAGCCTGACGATGATGATGATGATGATGATGATGATCACCATGATCATGATGATCATGATTAGACTTTAGCTTTCCTCTTTTATACTATTGATGATGATGATCATGATGATAATGATAATGATGATTATGATGATCATGTTGATTATTATGCTGTTTATATATGCATATATATACAAAGTATAATATGAATTATGAATTAAAAAAATATACTTTAGGATGTATAAATGTTTATGCAGCCCCGGTCACAAACTTGGTTTTGGCTATAATAAAGCCTATCATATCCTGACTATAAAGAAGCTTATCAAAAGTGATTTGAGGTTAACTATTCACTAGTAAGTGACCAGAGTTAATATTTACCTAGTAAGTGACCCAGTTTAAATATTAACCCCAATCACTTACTAGTGCATAGTTAACCTCAAATCACTTTTGATAGGCTTTTTTTATAGGCTCCAAATCCAGTTCCATTTGCCTGCTGGGTTGATCCTGCAATATTAGATAATATTACAACTTAATACTTTATTAGGTTGTAAAATGACCTAATATTTTATTAAGTTGTAATTAAGTATTAGTATCAACCTGTGTTGAATGCTTTGGTGTCATCTTAGGCACAAAACCCAGACCTATCCAATTGCATATATTCCATGTATAAATATACCAACTAATATAAAAAATTAGTTTTTCTATATATACTATCAACATATTAATTTAAATCAATCTTTTAACCATTAACCAATCAAAACTTACCCATACAACAACAATAGTATAAGTGTAACAGGAAAGTTTTGAGAAGAAACATATGCTTGTTGATTAAACATAAGGAATATAAAAATACAACTGAATGCTGGGATCAAATAATTCATCTAAAAATAAAAATTAAGGTCTTCAATAAAAGTTTAGAACTAAAGTATCATTTGCAAAATTATAAGTTATAAGCAATATATAAAATGTAAAAAACAATGTATAAAAAAATATGATTCTAAATTTTACCATATCCCAAGTGTAATTAGCTACCCAATACACAACAGGATTTAACCCGCTCACTATTTGCAAGTGTTTGCATTTACTTGCCCGATCTTGAACAAGATAGACTAGAAAACTGGCAGGAACAAAAGCAAGTGCCAGAATAACAAAAATTGCTACAAATAAATCTGTTAGTCCCTGGCGCCTAAATAATAAACCAATTGCACAACTTTTTATATTGTTAAAATTTATAAACTTTTTGTTTATTATTTAAGTTTGTTATAAAAATTAAATAAAAAACTTTATAAATATTAAAGAAATCCCCAAGAGACAAGTTGTGTTCATATGAAAGAAAAAATACGCTTGGGCTGAATTTTTTTGATTAAAACTAAAAAATAAATGCATTTCAATAAAACAAAAATTGTTGTTTTAGTCAAGACTTGCTTTCTCTATTTTTTCTTGGTTCTCTGAGTCTTTATAATATATAATACAATCTGCAAACTGCATAATTTATTTTGTGCGCATTTAATTCATAACAGTTTCAGTATATGATGCCATTGTGGCTTTTTCTTTTTAAGGTATCAAAGTATTTTTATTGCCACAATCAGCAAATTATAATTATTTAGATAACTTTTTACTAAATCTTAAAAATTTTTTTGAGATACATTTAAAAATAAAATAATATATTTGGTTTTGAGATTTCAGTAGCGCAAATTGTTTTTAAAAAAAGTATAAATCTTTACCTAAATTTTTATTTTAAAAAGTTAGTATACTTTTACGTATTAACAAAATATATATTATTTGTCCTTGTAAAAATATACTATATCAAATTTATTTTGTAAAATTCGGAATATTTTTTTATCTATTTGTAGTTTTTAAAGTGACAAGTTTTTATTTTACTTACTTTTCAATTATTATTTGCACCTAGCCCTATATAAGAATTAGGTTGGCAATAAATTACTGACCTCAAATTGTTAGAGGTTGGCATCAGGTCAACAAAAAAAAAAATTGGATACAAAGGGGTTACAATAAAACATAGAAACAAGGTTGGCAATTTTTTGCCAATCTCAAACACTTTTAGGTCAGCAGTAAGGTCGGCATTGCCGAATGTTGACCTTAGTTCTGAAGGATACCATACCATATGATATATTAGTCAGCCCTCGGAATTAGGGTCGGCATTTGGCAATGCCAACCCTAATTCCAAGGGCTGACTAATATATCGTATGTAGAAAAAATTAATATATTTAATCATATTATATTCGATAAACAAATAACGCTTATTTTAAAAAAACAAAGCAAATATATAAATTTATATATTTTTATAAAATATTTTTCATTATCTTTATAAAATATCTTGTATAAAATTTAAAAATAATCTTGACAATTGACGAACCAAAGATATTGTTTTATTTTAAATTGTGTTACAAATATTTGTTTAGAATTTAGTGAAAAATTATACAAATAATTTTCTGATTGTTGGACAAAAAATACTTCCTTTATCTTAAAAAAACTGAAACTCATATACTGAAACTGGGATGGTTGTAAGCTGTGATTCCTATATAATTATATTTTATATAAATTAAACACGCATTAAATAAATTATACAGTCTGCAAATTGCCATGTATATTATAATGACTCAGAGAACCAAGAAAAATGGAAAAGGCAAGATTAGACTAAAACAACAATTTTTGCTTTTATAATATGCATATATTATTTAGTTTCAATCAAAAAACTTGTTTTTTTTAAGTTGAAAGTTTAATAGACTTAAAACAAGCTAAAAATTAAAGTTAGCAACTGTTGAATTTAAGTAAATAATAACAGTATGAATAAATTTTCACAAAAGATGTACTTACAAAACTTCATCTTGCAGCTGTTCTTGATTTAAATCCATGGGATGGTTGTAAGCTGTGATTCCTATATAATTATATTTTATATTGATTTTAAGTTTATCATTTCAATTTTTAACAGAAATTTGAACATTTTGCATATTTTAATCAACATACACTGTAACTGGCAACTTTAAATTGCTTATTTCTATGCTATCTTGCAATCAAATCAGTTGTTGAACTATATGAAATTATGTAAGTCCACTAAAGGATATGTAATGTAAATATTGTACTAAAGGATATGTAATGCAAATATAGTACTAAAGTAATGAAAATATAGAAATAAAGGATATGTAATGCAAACATAGAACTAAAGGATATGTAATGCAAATATAGAACTAAAGGATATGTAATGCAAATATAGAACTAAAGGATATGTAATGCAAACATAGAACTAAAGGATATGTAATGCAAATATAGAACTAAAGGATATGTAATGCAAACATAGAACTAAAGGATACGTAACGCAAACATAGAACTAAAGGATATGTAATGCAAATATAGAACTAAAGGATATGTAATGCAAACATAGTACTATGATAATGCAGTTAGATAAATTATAGTTAAAAAAATATTGTCTTATATAAAATGAAAAAAGAGTGTACCATATTGTGATAAATCTTCTGTAGATGGAAGATTTGCTCGTAAAATAGCATTATTCATAAAGTTTATGTAAACTGGAAGTGAATGATATCCTTTGAGATTGTACCAAACCTAACAAAAAAAAAAAAAAATGTAATTTATCAAAGTAATTGCTTTTTTGTTAAAACTTAAAGAAAAATTTTACAAATGTATTGTTTTTATAATAACAAGTTTAAATTAAACAAGTTTAATTTAAACTTGTTTTCTTCAGATATTGATGCTAATAATAATCATTACTTGGTTTATTTTTACTATGGCTATTTCAAGTTAAAATTATTCCACATACTTTAAAAAAAAAATCAAATAAACTTAACACTTCTCTTTTTTAGAGGTTTTAAGTTGAAGTTATTTTTACTTTAGAATTTTTTTAAACCACTCTTTTAAGCAGGTTGATAAGAAATAGAAACCATTGAAAACAAATTAGAAAACACAGCTTTTTTTATTTTTTGACTATTTTTCTAAATAGACTGCACAAACTTAAATATTTTCTATTTGTAGGATACAACGAGTTTTATTCCAAAACAACATTTAGTAACTAAATCAAACAAAAGTTAACCAAATATTAACTTGCTGAAAATATGGGTATTAACATATTTGTGTCTCCAAATTTTTTGTAGACTGGTAGGTCAATAATTTCCTACCTGTACTAATTGAACTAAAAACGTTTTAAGAAAAGTTAAAAACAAATTAAACAGCAATGAAGTACTTTCTTTAAACCTCCTCAGGGTTTTAATACATTCCAAATAGTGTTATTTTATCCAAAGATCTTAAAACTTTGGCACAGTTTGGCCCATCAAAACCACCACCATTATAGCCATGCCTGATAACTGTTTTCTTTTCAAGAAATTCCTTCAGATCAGTGAACAGGAGATCAATAATTTTATTAACATGGTGTTCATAAAAATGGTATTCAGGTGGTGGAACAATGGTATTCATGGTGTATCATGGTGTTCATAAGTATGATATTTAGGTGGTGGAATTGTGTTGATAATTTCCTTAGTCAATTTCTCATCCAAAACATGGATTAGTAATATTTTTATAATATTGCATCTGTATACAAGGTTTGTTATCAAATTGATATTTTTGAATTCATCTGTTAGTGATCCAAAAGTTTTTTAAACTCTTTTTTTGTCCACCAGCCCATTACAATAACAACGCAAATATTTTTCACCCTGACTCTTCAATATAGGAAATAACTTATAAGTATTGCTTATTTAAAAATTACATTGTACATCAAGTCAAGATAAGGAAATAAGGTACTTACTGATAATCCTAGGAGGATGTTGATCAATTTGAATCTGAAGCCAAGGTAAACTTTAATTGACTGAGTTGAAGGAGTTGAAAAAGTGTTTTTAGGTAGTGATAATTTTCTTCTATTTCGAACTGTGCCTAAAATAACCACTTTGTTGACCCGGGTGTACATCTGGTTCCTTAGTTGAAAATCTAACAATGATGGATCAAACGCGTTTATGACAATCTTCAGAGATCCCTATGTTCTATCAATATCAACACATACAATAGAATTAAAAATATCCAATCTTCTGAAGATACAAACTTCAGTTACAAGCATAGATAAGTCATTACAGTAAACAATATCTTTAACACTGCACAATTTGGAAGATCATTTAGCTTCTAGTTCATAATTATTTCACTTTTTATATGCCTTATTGGCGATTGGTCTCTGTATAATTTAACAGGAAGAGCTTTTCCTCCTGTTATTGTAAGTTTATCACCAACAACTGATATTTCTTTTAGCGTACAAGAAACAACTCTGTCGGCAATATTTTGATTTTTTGAAGTAATTAAGGTGTAAAGATTTGGAACATTTTTTTTTGTTTTTGCAAAGATGACAAATACCAGGACCAACAATTTGACAACATTCTGAACAAAATAATTTTTTTTTTTTCAAATGTAATTTTTTTATATTCTACATAGGTGAACTCAGAAAGAATAAGTGAACTACTACTTTTAGTACACTGTCCAAGGCAACAAGTAGCACAAAAGACACACATTTTTTGTCTTTAGTACACTGTCCAAGGAAGCAAGTAGCACAAAAGACACACATTTTTTGTCTTTGTTGACACAACAAAAACATATCTCGTATTTTCTGAATGAGATCATGCTTTTTGCAGACTCATTTTGTTCGTAAAAAATGTTTTTATTTAGTATTTTATGTATTAGGTTATTTAAACTTGATAAATCAATACTCTAACAAGTTATTTAATTTAAGCAAATTAACAGATGATTGACATAATTTTTGAGACTAATTTTTATCGTGTTTATGTAATTAGTTTTCTATTTATAATTAGTCTCTAAATAAAAATAACTTCAATTTTAGATACAAACTACGTGATTTGCAAACAAGAGTAGAAATAGAAAAAAAATAAAAAAAGCCCCCTGCTTCCCCTTAGTTGAGGGAAAGTTATTTTTGAGAAAAAAATATTTATCTTGAATTTCATCATAAATTCAAATTAGGTTTCCAATTTTATCAAAGTATACTTTTATACTCAAATGATATGATTCACATAAAGATTAGGACCCCCTCATTTTCTAAAGGTTTTAAATATTCATAAAAATTGGTCAAAAAATGAAAAAAGATGCGGTTTTTAATTTGTTTTCAACAGTTTCTATTTCATGTCAACCTGATAGAAGGTGTGGTTAAAAAAAAACTTGAAGTAAAAATAACTTCATCTGAAAACCTCTAAAAAAGAGTAGTGTTAAACAACTTGTTTTGTTGAAATAATTAAGTCTTGGAGCAAAATTCAAATAATTTCAAGTTATTTGAAAGTTACTTGCAATGTGAAAGATTTATATCCATTTGAAAAAAAGAAATTATTTAAAAATTTGCGATGATGATTATTTAACTAAATGAACCAAATTTTAGGTAAATGAAATATTTATTAATCTTTCATATTTTTTATGAGCATAGTCTTGTTCCATGAGTCAGTAGTCTTTTCTATTTTCTATTTGAAATATATTCATTATTAGGTTGGTGCTTACATTAAAAAAAAAAAATTCTATTTGAAATATGTTCATTATTAGGTTGGCGCATACATTGTCTATTTGAAACATGTTCATTATTAAGTTGACGCATACATTTAAAAAAAAAAAAAAAACTTCTTGAAAAAATGGCAACAAAAAAATGCTTTGGATAAATGCAAAATGAAATAAATAAAATAAAAATGTTTAAACGAACATTTTGTTTAATTTTAAACAAAAAATAAAAATAAAAACTACAAAAAAGGAATGTTGTATTTAAATTCTAAATAAACGACAAAAAAAAAAAAGTTCATTTAAATTCTAAATAAAATATTATTAAAAATATAATTAAAATTTAAAAAAAAAAATTAAAAACAAATGCTTAATTTGAATTCTAAATAAAATAACTAATATAAAAAATGACAAAACTAGCATATTATTTAAATTCGAAACTAAATAATTCAAACATACCAGGTATACCGGTATGAAATGAGCGTTTTTTGTGAAAATAAAACACTAATTATTGATGGGAAAGTATAAAACATTTTATTCAAAGTATTGGCCATTGTTTTCTACACATTTTGACCACCTTTCTGGCAATTTGTGGATACCACGCCAATAAAATTGTTCGTTTTTTAAAGCAAACCAACCAGACACCCAACTTTCGACCTCCTCGTAGGAATCAAAGTGCTGCTCAGCCAATGCGTGTCCCATCGATGAAAACAAATGGTAGTCGGAAGGAGCCAAGTCTGGTGAATACGGCAGGTGGGGTAGCAGCTCCCGGTCAAGTGTTTTGATTGTATCCTGAACCGGTTTTGCTTTGTGTGCAGGTGCATTGTCATGGAGCAAAATTACCTTGCCGTGTCTTCTGGCCCATTCTGGTCGTTTCTCGATGAATGCATGGTTCAAATTGATCCTTTGTTGTCGGTAGCGATCAGTATTGACGGTTTCACCAGGTTTTAGGAGCTCGTGGAACACCACACCTTTCTGGTCCCACCAAACACACAGCATTGTCTTCTTGCCGAATCGATCTGGTTTTGCAGTCGATGTTGATGGTTGTCCCGGATTAACCCATGATTTTTTCCGTTTAGGATTCTTAAAATAAATCCATTTTTCATCGCCAGTAACAATCCGATGCAAAACCAATTTTCTTTCGTGTCTTCGAAGCAAAATTCGACATTTTTAACACGATGAAAAAATATGATGTTGTCTGTTCAATGACTTGATGTATACTAAATATGTTTCACAGATGTCATAGCAAACAAACAAAAAATAAATAAAGGCTCGTTCACAACAAATGTTCCCTATCGAGACATTTGTATCTTGACGCTCACTTCATACAGGTATACCTGGTAAAGATGTTATCACAAAGGCTTAAGTGCAAAAGCACTGGTCAAATTTTCGTTATAACTATGTTTTCAAGTCAAGCTTGAATTCTCAGTCAATATTAAAAACTGGGAATAAAACTAAACCTCTAAATTTTAGTCATCAAAAACATATAAAATAAGATATAGTTGTGAAAAATACAAAGATAAAATACCTTTTAAAAATTCAAAGAGACTATTATGTATCAAAGAAATATGCCAGGAATAAATAAAATGCTCAATACTTCAACACAAAACTTGATAAACCAATGAAGGTAGTGGTGTAGTGGTAGAATGCTTGTTTGGTAAGCAAGAAGTTTCAAGTTCAATTTCTCCAAACTCTTGCTAGTAATGTGTATAACTGGTTTCTGGTCAAAGCAACCTTGTTTGTCAAGGATTGTGGGGAATGAGATGGTCAAAAGAACAATTCAAAAAAACTTTCTCAACTGAAGTGCCCACTTCAGCTTCAAGTAGGTGAATACAGAAAAAAAAAAGGAAAAAGAAAAAACAAAAGCATTTTTTTAATTCTCGCATTAATACTAAAATGACTGAAATGCAGAAAACTCTTAATACCTTATATAAATGTAAAACAAAAGAGCTTGTTGACAGCAATCAGATAGATATTTAGTTTATGTTGAAAAAGCAACAGAAATTAAAAACTTATAATTAAAGAAAGAAAGAATTGGTAATCTTAGTGTAATAGTAAAATATTCTTACCATAATCATAATGTTTTGACCCAAAAAATCATTTTATCTGAAATATATGAAGTTTTTAGTGTAAAAGGTTTTTTTATTCTTGCCATTGTGGTAATTATTTCAGATGCTTAACTTCAAACCCAAATATTATTGGTACCTCTTAAACTTGAAAAAAATTTTAATTGATCTTAAGTGTGTAAATAGAACTTTTAATTCATTCTGGCAAATAAACCTGTCATCAAATATACCTGTCTGGGAATCTGACATATCTGTCTGTACTGTGAAGGAGAATGCTCCTTTGAAGTAGAGAAATAAGAACATAGGACTTTATTGATTTATGTTATGATCAATGTGCATGTGATGGAAAAAAAAAGATTGAAAATGCAATGAATTACAAAACAGTCATAAATCCTTGTTAAAATTACTTTAAAAAGAAGATTCAGAAACTTTTCTTGAACACACAGATAAAATTTGTTCCCCCACTATTACATTTTGATGAGAATTGTAGATGTTCTTTGTAATTTGCTTTTATTTGTTTGGCCAGCTGTATGAAACTGGATGAAAACACATCATACAAATGAGTGGGTACCATGGTATTATATGGAAGTAATGCTAATAGACTTATGTCAAAGATGTTTATGAAAAGGATGTTACATTATCTGCAATAATTTTACTGTTGATTAATAGACTTATGTCTAAGATGTTTGTGAAAGGGAGTTTACATTATCTGTAATTATCTACATTATCTGATTAATCATTTATGTTTTCATTAGTGAAATCAAAAGTGTTTCGAACTTAATATAGAGATTTTTGTTCAAATTTCAAAAGTTCATTTTTTAGTCTTTAACTATATGCAAAACTTTTCTGTTTCATAAAAAATTTTAGTGTAAAATTCTTTCCTTGGTTGAACACAGCAAAAGAATAAAATTCTTTCCTTGGTTGAAACTGAAGAGTTTTTAATTTTAATTTGGCAGTAAATTTGAAAGGCAGTGTTATACATTTATATAACATTTATCATGTTTTATAATTTTCCTAATTTAAAATGTAATATAAATTAATTACATTTGTAATTAATTATTATAATTGTAATTAATTGTCATGCAGTTACAATTATTTTTTCATATTACACTTTGAATTGAAATTTCTTTTAATATCTCAACATTAAGAAAGTTTTAGATTTTACAGTAAACTCTAAAAAAGTTATTAAAAAATCCTGGACACTAGTGATTTTTTTAATACTTGAATAATTTGATACCTTAACATTTTGTTTAACACCAAATGATGATGCAAAGTTCCACCAAGAAAAATTAGATGTTTCCAAATCAGGTAATCTATTCTTCATCTGTGAAAAAGATGCACCACCATATCTGAATGCATAAAAATAGTAAATTTTATAATAAAACTATAAAACCTTGGAAAACTTTCATAAGGTAAAAAAGGTTCGTACTTTAAGGTAAAAAAGGTGTGTACTTTAAGATAAAAAAGGTTTGTACTTTAAATATAACTATTTACATTGAAATTTAAAAATTTAAATACGCAAACACAAAATCAATTTTATTTATAAATGATTAAAATTGGTTGATTCAGTGTTATTATATTAAGAAATAAATATGATTGGTTGATTCAGTGTTGTTATATTAAATATTTATTATGATTGTTTGGATCAGTGTTGTTATATTAAATTAGCTGTCCAGTTTTAAAACCAACAACAGTCAATGAAAACTATAAACTACAGAGTATAATTATACAATTACATGACATTGCACATTGAAAATATTATCCTAACCACAATGAAAATACTACCCTAATTACAATGGAAAAACTATCCTTTTAAATACTAGTTTTTTTAGTGTGAATAACAAACATTTTTTTAGCTTCATTAATGAGAAAAGATGATTTTATTTTTAAAAAGTTTATTTTTAGGACTTTAAAAAAAAGTTATTTAAAAATTTTAAAAACTTGAAAATTAAAGAAACAATAAAGTTATAAATATAAACATAAATACTGAAACGCTATAAATATAGTACTATAAAGCTATTAAACAAATAAATTAGTATAAATTATTAATTTAAAGAAAATTTTAATAAAAAACCTCTCTTTAGCATAAGCATCAGTAGTAGAAAGCAAATAGTCATTAATATCATAACCACTAACATCGAGAAATGTATCTCCATTATTTGCTAATAGCATAGGTGTTTTTGGTAAATTTCCAACACATTTTTGTTTACCAGTACTACAGGAACAATGAAGAGTTTGAATTAGTTTAGAAGAATTTGGGTTATGCTTGAATGGATTTTTTTTATGAATACATGACTTCATCTTTTCGCAACCTCCATCTTAAAATAACATAGAATATAATCATTAAATAAATTAAAAAGACTTTTAAAACTATTATTTATTTATTTGTTATAAATTAATAACTTTTAATAGTACAATAATACAAGTAAAGTAAATAAAAGTATAAAAGAGCATTATAGTTATATTTCATTAAAGGTTTCTACACATATAAATGTTGTCTCTCTGATGGATGCATAAAACATAACTTTTTAATTTACATTTATTTTTTATTAGTTTACATTCACACATTATTAGTTGACATCACATTATTAGTTTACATCTCTCTTTCTCACTCTCACACACACACACACACACACACACACACACACACACACAGGCACACACATGCTGATTTAATTAATTTTTTAAAAATTACACTATATATTATGAAAATAAGTTAAATAAGATTTATTTACTATTGCAATTAGCAAAAATCTTAAAACTCAAAATGTATTTTTAGAATTATTTTTTGTAAATGATACTATTGAACAACTTTCTAAAAAATTATGTTAAAAGTAAAACTTTTTTAAGTTAGATTAAAAAACAGAAAACATACATTAGGCAGGTTTCATCACATTTGTAAGATTAAAAAAAAAAAAAAAAAAAAAGCAAAAAATCATATATTAGCTTTTAAAAATATCTGACCTGGTCCTGGATACTCTACGTATGATTTTAAAAGATTTTCTGAAAAATTGTTAAATTTTGAAACATCAACTACAACATAATTTGGCTTTGAAAACATTTCTGTGGACAACTTCAATGAGGGTTGAGCAACTCTAGGAGGTCGGATTAATGAGACACACATTGCAGCAACAACAAATATAGCAGGAAGCAAAATTTGAGAAAAAAAGCCTTTACGACTTCTAATTGCATGGTAGAAACGTTTAGTAAGGACTGCTTTATACTGTTGGAGCCATAAAAAACGGTTGGATGGAATAAAGTCTGACTCAAAGTCATTTAAACCTAGGTAAAAAAATAGTATTGTTAGCTAAATACTTTCTTTTTCAAAAAAAATAATAAGCTTGGTTGACTAGATAATCAAATTAATATTATACTAAAAAAAAATAGCTAAAAAACTTTTTATAATAATGAAAAAAACTATACACACTGAAAATTATTCATATACTATTCTATTGTTTGTGTACCTGGTTCTATTAGTTCATTATTTGAAAAAGTCAATGCTGATAAAGAATCAAAGGAAGCTAAACTAATTTGCTCATGATTCATTCGACTTGGTGATAGAATATCTCTCATAGAAGAACCACCTATTGAAAAAAAAATTAAATTTATTTAATATTTAGTGGTCCTCAAATAAAAAAAATTTATAAAAAAAACATTCACAAAATTAATTATCAAGCATAAAAAATAATAAAGTATTAAAATAATCAAAGATATTTATAGATTTCACTGATTTCACTTGTTTCATATAATGTAACCACAAAACTTGTTTTAATAAAAATAATAAAATTTTTAACTCTGTATAAAACATAAACTGAAATGTAATTAGTGTAAAACATTTATAAATTGTCCTTAATAAAAATATTTTATATTACCTACTTAATCTACTAAAAATATTACCTACTTAATATAACCTACCCTACCTACCCTCAACATTTCCTACCTACCCTTTATATTACCTACCTATCCCCTATATTACCTACCCACCCTCTATATCACCTACCTACCCTCTATATTACCTGCTAACAACCTATTACTACTTTAACTTACCTAGCTACCTTCAAGTTTATTGTTTATCAAAAAGGCATTTATTTGTATCTGGTTTTTAATTATTTGTTTTGCCTATTAGTATACAAATAGTATACTATAAAAAATTTTTACACAAAAAAAACTTAATTTTCTTAAACAATTGAAAGAACAATTATTTTGTTTGTAATGATAATGGAGTTAATAATAATAATAATAATAATAATAATAATAATAATAATAATAATAATAATAATAATAATAATAATACAAAAAAATAATAATAATAGTAATATAAATATATCAGCCAAATCAAAAAACAACTTCAATATTTCTGCTAAATTAAAAAATGACTTAAATATATATGCAAACAGTAAATAAATTCAGACAAGTCTTTTGCAAAATTTTTCCTAACCATTGAACTATCAAAAATATTTGTTATAACTTTAAAAAAATCTTCACATTTTTTTTTTTTTTTTTAATTAATTTCTTTGTTTAAAACAAAAAACAAAAAAAACAAAAAAAACTTGGTATAATGAAGGTTAACTTGTTTAATTACATTTTTGTCAAGATTTGTATTTCACAATTATATGGTTAAAAAGTTTGTATTTGCAATTAAAAAAAAAAAATTAGTAGCCTCCTTGACTTTAGTATCCCCCTAAGCTTTAGGGAGGTGAGTAAAAAAAAACATTAGGATTTAAAGAAACAATAACAAAAATATTATTATACATAACAATTACATAATAATTTGCTTAACAAATTGTAACAATGAAGAAGTAACTATTAAATTGTAACAATGAAGAACTTTTAAATTGTAACAATGAAGAACTTTTAAATTGTAACAATGAAGAACTTTTAAATGTTTTATGTGTTCTCCTAGTTTTAAGTAATAAAAGAACTAAAATCAAAATGAAAGAAGAAATATCAATAAAAAAATTTTGAAAAAAAAAACAAACTAAATTTTTGCCAAACTGCATTATAATAACTTAAAATTAATTTGAGATTTAAAAAAATTATCATTTATTTATTATTTCTTTTGTATACAATAAATATATTTTACGATTCTTTAATTTGTTTAAAAATAAATAAACCTTCATCAAGACAGCCTTCATCATCACAAGCTTTCAAAAACACCTAAAAAAAGTATATTTATGCACTCTAAATTTATATTCATGTATACATACACACATACATACATACATACATACATACATACATACATACATACATACATACATACATACATACATACATACATACATACATACATACATACATACATACATACATACATACATACATACATTGACTATTGTTTTAAGTTTTTAAATTCTTTCTGGTTTGGTTTATTAGTATTCTCTTTAAAACTATATATACATATATATATATATATATATATATATATATATATATATATATATATATATATATATATATATATATATATATATATATATATATATATATATATATATATATAATATATATATATATATTTATATATATATATATATATACATATATATATATATATATATATATATATATATATATATATATATATATATATATATATATATATTTAAATATATATTTAAATATATATATATATATTTAAATATATATATTTAAAACTATATATATATATATATATATATATATATATACATATATATATATATATATATATATATATATATATATATATACATATATATATATATAATATATATATATATATATATTTATATATATATATATATACATATATATATATATATATATTTAAATATATATATATATATATTTAAAACTATATATATATTTAAAACTATATATATATATATATATATATATATATATATATATATATATATATATATATATATATATATATATATATATATATATATTAAGAAATTTAGATTTAGCTGCACTTGAAATGCTACAAGTGACATCATACTGAAATTAGCATCTGCTGGGGCTTTTGTGCATACAACAAATGAAAAAGTTTGGGGAGTGTATAGTATGTATATATGACAGATTATAATAATAATAATAATAATAATAATAATAATAATCTTTTTAAAACTTTTTTAACAACATGTTTTATCAATAACAATTGACATTATTAGGCATAAAAAATTAGTTAAAATTTCTGTATAAAAACATTTTTTTGGGCTTCATTAAAATTTTATTAGTTTTTACAATAGTTACAGTAGCTACATTTTATAAAATATAAAATATAGTTATTTTATAAATATAAACTTTTTATAAAATAAATAATTACCAAGAAATTTTACAAAAGATTATATAAAAGCTGTGAAGTAATAAAAAAATTTATTATTTTTTCTAATTTATTTGTTTATTTTTTAATTGCTTCACACCTTTTATATAAAAAATTTTAGAATTTTTTGATAATTAATTATTTTATAAAAACTTTAATGTAGCCAAAAAAATTGTTTATATACAGAAGTTGTTACTAATTTTTTATGCCTGATGATTTGTTTAATTGTTATTGACGATACATCATGTTCAAAATTTTTAAATAGATTATTATTTATTTGAAAACTATTTATAATAATAAAAATAATAATAATAGTAACAATGATGAAAATTATTTTTATTATAATTACAAATATTTAAAAACTTTAAAATACTATTTTTTCTAAGAAAAAAAATATAAATTGCCTCTTCAAGACTTGTATCTGAAACTCCATAACTTTGGATTCCAAATGTTTTCATAGATTCTTCAAGATGAAAAAATAAGTTTTCAAACTCTCCTGTTAGTCTTGCTGCAGATGGCAGCAGAAAAGTTAATTCATTATTCAATGTTTTATCCAGTAATGCACCGGGAACAAATGAACTAATAAAATTTTGAAGTTGAAAGGATGATTGAGGATAAATGGTGTCTCCATCTAGCAAAATAGTTAGAACATAACCTCTTCCAAAGCGACGTTTTAAAAATAGTGGTGAACCATTACATTTAAGTTTGCCATTTGATATAATACTTATTCTGTCTCCGAGCACATCAGCTTCATCCATATAATGTGTTGATAGTAATATAGTTCGACCTATAAATAAATATTAATATAAATATATATCAATATAAATATGTATGTGATATAAATATCTTATCAGGGGCTATTCTAGGAAAAAAATATGGGCGGTGGTACTTTTCTGTCCCGGAGAAATTTTGCGGAAATATTGCCTCGTGTCAGCATTTTTTTGCGGAAAAAACAATATTTGACACAAAAAACATTAAAAAAAAAAAAAAGCCCTCAATTTTTAATTTTGGTGGTGCCCAAATTGACACCTAAATATGGTCGACACTGTCGAAAACGATCTAGAATAGCCTGTGCTTATATTAATATTTATCTGATATAAATATATATCTGATAAAATGGTAGCAATGCAGTTGTAGTTGTAGTTATGTAAAAAATTAGTTGAACAATGCGCTTGATAGTACAACAACTAAACTTGTTTCTCTGCTCAGTGACCTTGTTAGTCATGCTTTGTATCCTGCTTTGAAGGTCATGCTTTATGCTTTAAAAATAATTTTTTAGAAGAGAAGTGTTAAAATACTATTGGAGATAAATTTCATGTTGGTAAAAATATAAAATTTAAGCTAAAAGAATAAAAAAATAAATTTACTTTACTATTTCAATACTTTATTTTAAAAACAAAACAAAAAATCTACCTTGCTTATGTTTTAAAATAAGATCCCAAATTCCTCTACGAGAGTATGGATCAACACCAGAAGTTGGTTCATCTAAGATAACAGTCTTTGAGTTAGCAATAAATGCCATTGCTACAGAAAGCTTTCGTTTCATACCACCAGACAAATTTCGAGAAAGCTCATTCCGTTTTTTAGGAAGACCGACATCAACAACAAATCTAAAATCCAAAATGGTCAAAATTCAATTACTTTTTAACAACAATATGAAATAAGAAGTAAAAAAAAAAATTAGAAAAATTATAATTAATATAATTACTTTTTTTAATACTAAACTTTTATATATATATATATATATATATATATATATATATATATGTATATATATATATATATATATATATATATATATGTATATATATATATATATATATATATATATATATATATATATATATATATATATACATATATATATATATATATATATATATATATATATATATATATATATATATATATATATATATATATATGTATATATATATATATATATATATATATATATATATATATATATATATATATATATATATATATATATATATATATAAATTTAACAACTAAAACCTTTCCACTTCAGCATTAAGTTTTTCATTAGACATTCCTTTCAATTTACCATAAAACCACATGTGTTCTTCTACAGTCAAATTGTCAAACAGAACATTATGCTGAGGACATATGCCTAAACTTTTGCGTATTTTTTCTACATTTGTAACTATGTCATAGCCGCAAACCAATGCTGTACCTGAAGTTGGTGGAAAAAGACCAGTTAAAATGGACATGGTAGTTGATTTCCCAGCTCCGTTGTGACCAAGTAATGCAGTGACTTGTCCTTCATACATTTTTAAATTGAGATTGTCTACCGCACATTTATTTCCTCGTTGATAAACCTTTAAATATGTCAATAAATTGAAAATACACACAAGTGTGTTTATGTGCGTGGGTGTGAGTGTGTCCAAAGTAATATAAACAATAAGAAATAAAGTTACATTTAGTGTACCTTAACAAGATTTTTAATATGGATTCCAATAGGTAAATCAGTAGGTTCTTTTTCAAAGTCTTCGTTTCTGTTGAAATTAACTTCTGTATTATTAAAGTCAGCATCACCTTCTACAGCTGACTAAATATATAGTTGTATGAAATAGTTATTCTTCAAATAAAAAAAATAGAAATTAAACCTTTTTTATCAAACTATGTTTTATCTATATAATCTATATAAAAACATATACACACACACACACACACACACACAAACACACACATACAAAAAAGGAAAAAAAAAACTTTATCATTTGAATTCTTCATTGTACAATGCAATAATTTTTGCTGATTGTCATGGCAAGATTAAGAACAAGTTCAATAAGATAAAAAGTTGTAATTAAGTTTTTACATGATAGTAATTTGTTAAAAAAGTTTTTGCTGCATTGTTTTTACAAAGTTTTTACAACAAATTAGTTTAAATTTAAAATAAGTATTAAATTGAAAAACTTATTACTTAAACTTTTTTTTAAACCTTACAAGTTGAGAAATACAAGTAAAACTTCTATTTTAGAATCAAAAATTCTTAGAATCATGCTATCTCATGTTGATATAAGCATTGTTGTAAGAGTTACAATTATGTACACAATAGTTTTTATTACTTGATGATGGTTTCTAGCGCTAGTTTTTATTACTTGACAATGATTTTTAGCAGCAGTTATTCTCACTTGGTTTATAGGTTTCTTCTAACTTATTAAGTTATTATTTTTTTTTAATAATGAATAGAAGTTTTGTATATCAGGTCAATGTGCCAACATTCATGTTTTGAATAGTAGTGGTGTAATGGAGAAGAATTTGCTTTGTAAGCAAAATATACTAAATTCAAACTCACGCGTCTCTACAGTGGAGAAAATAGAATTAGCCTAACTATGTACTGATCCAATATTTAGTAAATCTATAAGCAAATTTGTGTGGTGCATCTTTTGTATCCACACACATATAATTATTGTTACAAACAACAACTTTTTAAATTATAATTTAGCATAATTAAATTACGGTACATTTAATAAAACCATAAAATATATAATATTTGATATTTGTGGTAACAAATAGAATTAGCCTCATCAATAATTATTTTCAGTTTATTTGTATATTTTGATCTGGTGATACTCATTTGTGACATTATTATAGCATTTGTTTTTTATTATTAGTAGTAATTTATAAAAAGACTGTGAAGTCAGTGCTCATAAAGTTTTTAACATTTGATTTTTGATACCTGAATTTGAATTGGGACGTGGTAAGTGTTTAACGAATGAAGAATTAGCAGTAAACAAAGCATACAAAGACATGCTTATCTAATCAGAAAATTACAAAGAAAATTAAAAGATCTTCAAAAGTGGTTAATAATTACTTCAAGATTGGCGTTAATAAAATTGATAATCATATTACTGCTGCTCAGCACATGACTGCATCTCAAATTCGTACTGATTTACAATTAACTATAACTGCTCAACGTGAAAGACAAATCTTACATTTACAAAGATTCAAACACAGTTTGGAATAAGCGTAAACCAAAACCAAAACTTTGGAATGGATTTGCTCGCATGCAGTCCTGATCTTAACCCAATTGAAAATCTATGGGGAATATTTTCTAGAAAGGTTTATGAAAATGGTAAACAATTTGAATCCACATTGGAGCTGAAAACTCGTATCAGAGAAGCTTGGAATGAAATATCAATAGAAACTATAAAATCTTGTGACTAATATGTCAAGTGGCATATTTGAAGTCATTAAAAATTCATGAACAATACTAAATATCAAATGAGCCTAAAAACAAAATACTTTCTGTATTGTTCTTGTATTATTCTTGGTTGTGAACTAACACAGTAAAATTAAAAACTAACACAGTAAAATGTGTGATAAAAAAAAAAAACTATGGTTTTGGTTTTTGAATTCTCTATATTTTTTGCAACCATTTTGGAAAATATAAAACCTTGAAACGTGTTAAATTTATAAGAAATTTATTACATTAAAAAATGTAACATTTATGCATTTTTCAGGCAAATGCTATGAAAAAAAAGTAAAAAAGCCTGCTAAAAACAAAGATTTTGTTTAAATCATTACTGTCTAGTTTATATAAAATGTCTTTAGGTAGTTAGTTACATTGTAATTTAGAAACCAGTTAAAGTAGGACTTAACAAAATCAGAATTTCTCAATTTTTTGCCATACACAGCTAAAATATAAGATTCATTTTCTTTTACCTTGCTAGTTATAATTGCAATATTTTTGTACTTCAGTCAGCATTAACAATTCTTAATACAGCTTAGATACAACAGGAATATACAACTACCTTGAAAGATTTAATAAATATCAACTGATTAAAATGCATTTGCAAAAAAAAATGCCTAAATATCTTTGTAAAAAATGTTTAAAAAACAAAAAAAACTCAAAGCATATAATTTTTTTTTGAGACTTTCAATTTTTTTACATTTGAATAATACAGCTCATTTAAAACATAAATTTTTATTTCATAAAATTGTAGCATAAATACTTTGATAACTCCTGAGTATATATTGCATTAAATTTTTGTTCCAAAATATGTAGCATAACTAATTTGATAACTCCTGGAAACAATAGATAATCGAATGAGGAGTCTGGAAATGAAATGTAACGGAATAGTCTTGAAATGATATGTAATAGAATTGAAAATATGGAAACAATAGGAAATAAACTGGGGAGTCTGAAAATGATAAAGAATGGAATGGGAAGTCTAAAAATGAAAATGGCAGTATACAACTTTTTAAGTTTATTATAAAAAATAAAATCAAACAATTTTAATTAAAGCTTACAGTTGCTTGATCATTCATCATATTATAACCACTTTTAGAGTGTGTATGACCACTTTGAACAAACAAGTGCTTCTGCTTAACATCAAACCAATAAGATTTTGTAAATGGAAAATACCAAATCTTAGGGATCCCATATTCACCTAAAAATCAAGCAAAATAATATATTTTGTTTTTTTTTTTTAATTACCATTCCTGGCTTGAACAATTTCGTTTGAACAGTTAAGAAAAGTTAAGTTAAAAACAGTTAAGAAAAGAAAAAAAATATTTTATGTTAGTTTGTTCTTCTTTGACAAAAACATGTGAATGAATTGTGAATAAGTTATATAAATATGTTTGATAATCAAGTAAAACTTTTTAACTATAACAGCTCAAAAATTTTTATTAAAAAAATATACACTTTTCCAAGATAACATTAGGAATTTATTTTTTGCAGTTACCAACACACTTATTTTTTTTAATAGTGTTCTAGTAATTTATTTTTATCTGATTTTTCTTTCATAAAAAGATTTCTTTTGATGTAAATTATATTGAAACACAATACAAAAATTTTTTCCATAAACTTGAAATCCCACAATATTCTTTCACAATAGTAATCCTATAATGTCCAGCATATATTTAATACTTTGAGAGCTTTAACTGGTTTTAATTACTGGATAGATAAAAGACTCAGCAAATATAAAAATAGTTTATTAGAGTAGTTAACATTCAGATAGCTGTTTATCATATAAATTTTTATCCTTAAAAAGATATTACTGAATGTAACTTATAAGACTGTTGTTGGCTTCCTGTTGATGTTGCAAACCTACATAATTATATTTTTTACAGTTGATTGTCCTCCGTACTGGCACTATAGTTTATAATCTGTATAATTAGAATAAATTAATGGGGTAAAAACTATGAACTTAAAAAAACGATTTAACCCTAACCAAAATTAACCACAAGTACAATTTCCAAAACAAAAAATGTTAAAAATTAAAATTAAAAATTGTTATAATAAACTACTTTTTAAATTTCCAAACAAAAACATTTTACAATGTTTTCTTAGTGAAAATCAAAGTTAGCGCTAGTAGTTTGAAATGTTTGCAAATTAAGTTATTTGAAGCAAATTATATTATTTAACTTTTGCAATCTGTATGGCACAAGATGCAAATTTGCACCAGGGTTTAATTTTTTTAGACTTTCATAATTTATTTATTTTTTAATTATTTTTTGAAAAATATATTATTGTATTAGAGGGCACTTTTAAATTTACTTGAATTTTTTGGGTGTTTCTTTTACTTGGTTTACCTTATTAAACTTTTGGGTGTTTCTTTTATTTTAGTTTAGCAGATAATTCAAAATTTAAATTCATTTATTTTAAAAAAGATTGATAGTAAAAAATGCAATAAAATTAATTTATTTAAAAATATGCATCAGAATTAATCTATTTAAAATTATACATTAAAATTTATTTGTTTAAAAATATACATCAAATTAATTTATTAAAAATAATAATTAAAATTAAACAAAAAATAAATAAAAGAAAAAAAAATGCCTGTAAAAAAAATACAATAGCTTAAATTACAAAAATTAAAACAAATTAATAAATTCATAGCTAATTATTAATACTTAAATCTAAGTAAAATAATAAATAACATTATTAGAAGCTAATAAAAAAAACTAACCTGGTAAAACTTTAGAAAAGTACCAAACCATCAAAGAGTATATGAAAAAATCTATTATCATAAAGTTTACTGCCCAACCAAGACTAAATTTGTCATTTGAAGACGGACTTTGAAAAATATTTGCCCACTGAGCACCAATTCCTTGTTCTTCCCAGCGTGAAATATATTTAAAACCAAGTCCAAATGATGTTGTTGAAAGCAAGGACTTAAAAAAACAACAAAAATATGCAACAAAAGATTAACCAAAAATAATTAAACTAAATTTAGTTTAAAGTTCAACTTTATGCTATTTAAATTAAGTTATAAAACTAAATACTATTACATACCACAGCACTTAAATAACTAAAAGTCATTCCATCTTCAAAATATACTGTAACTACATAGGGAAGGTAAGTGAAAAAATAAATTATACCACCACATGCGGCTGAAATATTTGCTCTTGAAAAAAAAACACTAATTAAAAAAGCCATTGCTATAGATGCACTTGCAAAGATTGACATAACAAAAACAACTAGTGAAAAATCTGAATAAATTAGGATTTTTCCGAACTTGAGCACAATAACAAGCACAACAATAGATAATAACATAGATACAAAACTCGTGATAAACCATGCTGTCCAATGAATTGAATCAGTAAGTCCCATTACCTTTAAAGTTAAAAAAGATTAGCCTGTCAAAATTATTTAAACTGCATTATAAATAATAATTGTAAAACATTAAATTATAAAACATTATCTTATAGCCTTTTTATATTCAATTTTACCTTCATCACTTCTTTTAATCGCATTTCTTTTTCATAAACTATACTTTTTACAACCATTGCAATGGTGTAAACCCACGCAATAGTCATAAACAAAGGCATTGATCGACCCAAATATGAAATAAACCTATTAAAACAAATATTTATGTTACTTAATAAATATACCATATATTTTATAATACATATATCCTACTACATATTTGTGTATATTGGTGTATATATATAAAATAATCGATGTATGTACTGAAGAATATATATATATATATATATATATATATATATATATATATATATATATATATATATATATATATATATATATATATATTCTTTAGTATATATATTGACTCTTTTATAGCCTACAGCTTCAAAAGAGTGCCACTACATCGACTGAGAGTTAAGCATGAAGCAGCAACACGGCTGTTTCACTCAATATAAAAGCGAGCTTGACGTCACAAGAATTTTTGTGTTTAAAAAAAAAAAAGAATTTCCGCATAAAAAAATTTTGGGTGTTTCTTTTATTTTAGTTTAGCAGATAATTCAAAATTTAAATTCATTTATTTTAAAAAAGATTGATAGTAAAAAATGCAATAAAATTAATTTATTTAAAAATATGTATCAGAATTAATCTATTTAAAATTATACATTAAAATTTATTTGTTTAAAAATATACATCAAATTAATTTATTAAAAATAATCATTAAAATTAAACAAAAATAAATAAAAGAAAAAAAAATGCCTGTAAAAAAAATACAAGAGCTTAAATTACAAAAATTAAAATAAATTAATAAATTCATAGCTAATTATTAATACTTAAATTTAAGTAACATAATAAGTAACATTGTTAGAAGCTAATAAAAAACTAACCTGGTAAAACTTTAGAAAAGTACCAAACCATCAAAGAGTATATGAAAAAATCTATTATCATAAATTTTACTGCCCAACAGTATAAAAATTCACTAACTTTAAATTAATAGTATTTTTTTTCTATAAACGCTTTAATCTTCGAATTAAAAAAATATAAAAGAACTATCTTTCTTCGTTAAATAAATATTCACATGAAACGAAATAAAAATAAACATTGTTAAAATATTTTAAATGATTTTGGATCACTTCTGTTTTTTGCATATTTTACGGAAAACCTTTCTTGGGCCACTTAAGATTTGATATTTTAAGCAACATTCTTGATGATTGAAATTTTACATACTTATAAACGAATGTCTATTTTATCAGATTTTTGGAGGACATAGATAAAAAAAATAGTTTAAGTTAGTTTTTTTAGCATTATTCTTTTTGTTTTTACTTGTTTTATATGAAAAACATTCAATTTTTGTTATGCCTTCCAAATTATTGAAATTTTAACCCTTTATGCACATGAAAATCAAAAAAATTACTTTCTGTACCTCTAACTAAAACGTTTTCAACCTTGGCAAATTTTGATGCTTTTAGCAACAAAATTTGTAGTTACATGCTTAAAATTTTTGTTTATATTTCAAAGCAATGACGTAACTTTAAATGCGTTACTTCCTAATTCACTATTTAATAAAATTTATTAAAACAGCTTTTTTAGCAAGACAAATTTTGGCGGTTCTATTTTTTTCGTGGCTAATCTACAAACATCAGTTAAGTTGTTTAACCCTCTGATACCTATTGCATACTTGTTATTTGTCAATAATTATTATTTGATTTTATTTGTTTGTATTATATTTTTATTGAGAAGTTTATTTACCACTATGCATTCTAGTGAAAGGGAGATATTAATACTGTACATTGGATGGGAAAATGGCTGGGATAATGAATGAAAAACTTTTCTTTTATTAAGCGAATAATGAACGCTGATAAAATCACTAATAACGTGATTTTAATTTTACTTAAATTCTTTCCATCTAAAGCATTGTTTAGTTTTAAAAGTTTTATTATGCCAATTGAGTTTAATTTGCCTATTATTGAAGACTTTAAAAAAATGTGCAAAAAATTATTAAGACAAAAAAAAGATTCTATAAAAATTTATGAAGCTTCTAAAAACAAATCATTTTTTAATATGCAACGGTCTCCAGCGTCACAAACAAAAAAAAGAAAATCAGCAGATGTAGATTATTTTTCAATTTTAAATAGGAATAAGAAACTAAGTAGTCAAGTTAACCAATTAACTTCTAAAGAAAAAACTTATGTGGAGCAAATAGATCAATTAAAAATGCAGGTACTTAAGTTGAAATCTGAAATTACGGATTTGAATTCTAAAAACAAGGCTTTAAACACACATTGTAACTCATTAAGTTCTCATTTAGAGGCTATGAGTATTAGGCTAAAACAGGAATTCAGCTGCTAGCTTTCCTAGTTCTACAGATCTAGTTGAATTGAAATCTCTTAGAAACCATGCTTCTATGCCTCACACACCTGCTAATTGTAACATCTTAAGGACGACAATACAATCTCTGGAAGGTGCTTACAATGAGAACTTGTGTGAAAATAGGCAAGGTGGAAACTTAAGAGCTCTCGGTAAGTTTCATAAATCAATTATTGCCCCTGTGATATTCCCAATAATAACTTTAAATAATGTAGCGCCACCTGCTTACATATTATGTTAGGAGTTGTGTTAAAACTGTATAAGTTATTGTTGAAAGAGTGTAAGACTTTAGATTGTCAAGCTGATTCGTCTTTGTTGCATAATGAGAATGTGAGAACGAATGAATTTTGGGCTGCTAAAAGCGTTAAATGTTCTAAAACAGCAGAAACTTTGCATTTATTAGGAAATCAATTTGTAGACATTGCAAATCTAAAGGCGCGATGGTTGGCTTTTAATAACAAATTTTTTCGAATTAGAAAAAATATCCCTAAACTCCTCTAATGAAAAAAAAACCTGTAAACAGCAAGAAATGTGTGCTAGTATCAGGTGTTTAATTACTAAATATGATTGTAACGTTGATTAGGTGCAGTGTGTTACGTGCCAAAAATAATTTCATCAATTTTGTGAAATTATTGGTGATTCAGAAAAGAGTGTATTTTGTGACATAGAGATGTACGAGTGTTTAGCGTGTCAGGGTGAAGATATAGAATGTCATGACCTTTATATTTCTGAAAAAATTTCTTTTATACGTGCACAACACGAAGTTTTAGACATTGAATATATTAAATTGCAGGTGGAGTGTGAAGACCTAGAAAAAATATCCAAAAGTAGCATGGGGACTCATGAGAGGTCTCTTGATAAGGCCCTTGAAGATATGAAGGTTGAGCGACAAGTGTACCATGGTAATGTGTTTGTAGGTAATCATTGCAAAATAGTCTTGAGAAACCACTATAAACTTTGTAGTGTTATTGATGATGAAGCTATTAAAAATAGATTTGTACGTGTGTTTAGTGTTTTTAATAAGCTGCAACCTATTCTTTTTAAGCGAAAATTTCTTTCTGATGCCAAAATTACTGAGCTTCATCAATATATAAATTTATTTGCTATCAAGTTTCATGATTGCTTTCCAAAAGAAAGTATCACGCGAAAAATGCATGAACTCATTTAATGTGCCACTATTTGTAAAATTGCATAAAACTATTGGGTTGCTGAGTGAAGAGGAGGGAGAGTGTTTGCATAATAGTGTAAATAAGGAATTAGAACAGTTGCATTCAGTAAGAAATCAGGAACAGAAGCTGCGTCTTGTTTTAAAACGCTTTGAATTGCACAGCAAACCTGATAGGAAGCTTCAAGCCTCTAAGGTGAGAAAGTGTGTTGTGTGTTCTGAGCGAGGCAAAAATTCTTTTTATAGACAAGGCCTTCATCTTGTTTGTGGTCATCAAATTTAGTTTAAATATTTTTTAAAAAATTGAAAAAAATAATAATAATAAAAGAGATCCCTGATTTATAATATAAAAAATTTTATTCTGTTCTTGTAATGTTTGTTTAAATTATTTGTTATATGTAATATTGCTTTTATATATTGTAGGGCAATTCTATTCTTATCTTCAGAAGTTAATTCTACCTCAGGAAAACCTCTGCTCAGGTTAAAGAATGGAATATAAGTCTAGCATTAAATTGGTGTAAAAACATGGCATATTATTTTAATAACCTACGCACAGAGCAACTGGTATGTTTTTATGTTCAATCTGGTATGCATGTGCAGTTTATTTAAAACATTTATTGTACTTTTTTATATGTAACATGTTTTTTATATATTAGTCCATGTCCATTCGATTATTATCATTAGAAGTTAATTCTACTTCTGTGGTATCACTGCTCTACCTCAATTCTTGTTAACAAATAGAATGTAATTCTCATATATATCAAATTGGTGTAAAAATATAATTTAAGAACTACAAGTTATTGTCACAGTTTTGAGTCAAACAACTGTTCTTCTGGTTTAAAATGAAGTATGAGTCTAGTATCAACTGTGTGTACAAAGATTTACTACTTAAAGAACTTATCAATGGACCAACTGATTTTAAAATAGTTTTTTATGAGAATAAAAACAACTTCAAATTGCTATTTGTATATTTAAACACGCAAAAAAAAATTAAAGTTGGCGTCTTTATTTATTAACATTCTCACATTAGAACTGTGCGCACATAATAAAAAGTTTTTAAAAAGCTTAAGCTTTAAACTTTTAGGCTAAATATTCTAAAATGTAAATCTGTTTTCATTTAATGAAATCAATTTTCACGAACTAGTCATTTAACAGTTTATCCCCCTTTTAACGGCATTTTCGTAATTTTGCAAAAATTTGATTTGCTTTACTGGCATAAAATAACGCCTGTTTTAGTTAAACATTTAAGTAAGATTTTTTTATTTTTATAATAGTCCAACAATGTGTACATTTAATAATAAATATCGAAAATATATTCTTTCTGAGTTTTTTTTGATAAAAAGTAACATCAAATTACTAATATTTAGCCAAGTTCAACATTTGCCGCGTTTATTATTATTTTTTTTAACATCTTCGCTTCCAACAAGGCTGCAAGCAACCACTATTCTAAAATTAAAGAAGTTTTTTAATAAATCTGTGGAACGTCATCAAATAAAACATTTTATTGGTGTTTTTATTCTTTTTACAGAACAAAATTATCTCTAATGTTTCAAAAGTTGTGAAAGTTTTAGTAACACCCCTTATGTGAATATTTTCAAAAAATAACAAGAAGCCGTAAAGCTCGCTTGAAACAGCCGTGGCAACCTTTTCTTTCATTATTTTTGTTTTATTTTTATTTTTCTAAAATATATATAAACGTATATAAACGCATGTATAAACATCATTATGATCAACATGATTATCATAATCATCATTACCATCATCATCATAATGATAATGATCATCATCATCAACATCATCATCATTATCAAATCATCATCATCATCATCATCATCATCATCATCATCATCATCATCATCAGGCTTTAGCCTTCCTCTTTTATGCTGTTTCACAAATATAAACAATCTAGAGAATTTTCTTTCCTTAACTGAAGCTCATTCATACAGTATGTAAAGCACTCTATTTAAGTTTTCTTACTTTTAGCATTACCATTTTCTCCTGAAACTGCTACTTTCTACATGCTGATACCTAAATCACTTTAATCTTCTCTAACAAATGTTGTTCGGTACAACTTTTTTTTTTAATCTGTCTAAGATTATGCCTCCTTTTCTTGCCTTATTAGAGTCACACTACACTTCCATCTGTCAAATACTACCATATGCTAGCATCTAAATAAATAGCAAACATATGTTTATACCCATATTATATATGCATAAATGCGCATCTTGGAAGATCTTATTCCATAGAACAATAGATGTGCATTTTGGAAGAGCTTCCTAGATGCACATTTATGCATACCAAGATTCCCTGGAATAAAATTCTGGAAGCTTTTATTCCTTATGTTCAAATATAAGTAAAACCTTATTCTACTCCAAACTTTTCACCATTTTGAGCTTTATTAAACTGTATTCATTTTTTTCATCTTTTTTACAACATCATTCTTATGAACAAATGTTCTCTTATTATTGCAAGAAGCCATTGTTAAAAGGTCCTGTCTGATGGTAAACTTTGGTTTTCTTATTTTACTAAATCTTGTATCTTACCTCAGTTATTAGGTTCTAGAGACTCATGGAAAGTCTTCAACAGAGTCATTAACTAAAGCCTAACATTTAATCTCTAACTCATGGATCTGATCTTTTTACTTCTCCCTGGAATAGGGCAAAGTTATTAGGAAAGAACTTTCCAGTTAAACAAATTAATCCATTGTTAAACATCCAACTGGCATCACTCTGGCTTCCTATGTTAAAGTTAATTCTCAATTAAACACTTCTACAGTTTGTGCTTCAGACAAGACTTACATCATAGTCTTAAAAAAGTGTTCTTCAGAACTCTCTTCAATTTTTGAAAATATATATTTATTAAAAACCGTTTATAACAGTTTGAGGTTGGCAATTTATTACCGACCTCATTTTTCCTAATTCCGAGAGTTGTAAATGTAAGTAAATTATAATATATAAAGTATTATACATTTTTTTCTAGACCCAGCTATCAACCCCGTCTAAATCTTATAATTTTACTAGGGTTCAGGCCTGGTTTGCAAAAAGTCTCATTTTTAGCTGAGGCCACTTACTATTAGCCTGCACAAAAGTTGTTTCTATGAAAGACAAAAGTTGTTTCTATGAAACAAGATGTAACAAGTGATAACTCTTGCTGTTAAAGAAGTTAAATTTCTATGAGATAATTACCAGGAGTTCAAATAGCTTTCATTTATTTGCATCACAGTACAATACTAGATTTTATTTACTGTCTTTTTTTAAATTCTAAATTAATAGAAAATCACTTATAAACATTTTTTATTTTACACAGTATTTTATAAGAAAGACACCAAAAAGGAGAATAAAATGTTGAGAAGTGATTTTTTACTAATATATTATTCTTCTGTTCTTTAAAGAACATTTTATAGAATGGGGCATAAAACAGGTAAGCTATTTTAAAAATATTATAACAAATTTTCTGGTTTCTTTTGATATACAATTTCATAAAATGGTATATTAAAAGGAACCAGAAATACTTCTATGGTTGGTCCCAGTCGCCCAAAAATACAAAAAAAATATATTTTTATTTGTATACAGTGGCATGGTCACATAAATATTTTAAAATACCATAAAATTTTGAATTGGTTTTTAAATTATATAACAAATAGCCGGTTGCACTCATTTCATTATATAACATAGTTGATGGGGGAGTAATGAAGGGGAGGAGCAGACATGACTTTGAATGTGAATTTATAATATAAAATAATTTCACACTTTCATATTCTATTTAAGAGTAAAATGTTTTTTTAAAGATTTTTTTTTTAATTTTAAAGTCATAGAAACTAATATAATTACTCTGTAATATTCTTTAAAACTAAAAACATTTAAATTTTTATTTAATATTCTTTAACGAAAAATTGAAATGAAGAGTTTAAAAGATCCCAAGTATAAAAATGTAATATGTCAGAGTTATTTACAAAAAGAAAAAACTCTCTGCTTTTAAAAATGTCAGAGTTATTTACAAAAAGAGACCCAGTGACACTTTAAATCTAATTTGAGATGGAAATCCTGGTTTCACATAATTTTATTAAATCAAATAAAAACTAACATTTTATGGCATAAATATTTCTGAATACAGCTTTTCCATTGTATAATTACTTTGTTTTAATGTTTGATATAATATAAGATTTACAAGCTAATTGTAACTCATCTAGTAATCAACTGTGAAACATAAAATATTTAGATAAAATACATTGCAACACAAAAAAGCTCCTAGAATACATTGCAACTCAAAAAAGATTTGTATAGTTTCTTTAATTGTATTACAGTGACAACTGTTACAATTACAAGGTCTTGAATCTGAGCTTCAAGTAGGTCTGGTGAGTTCTTCAAGAAGACCTGGTGAAAAAGATCTTGAATCTGATCTTCAAGTAAGGCTGATGAGCTCTTCAAGAAAATCTGGTAAAAAATGTTTTAAACTCAAACTTCAAGAAAATGCAACAAATACTTTGACAAGATCTGGTGAACTTACTCTTTCAATATTCAATATATAAAAATCAAAATGCACAGAAATAGCAATAACCAATGCAAGAAAATATTTTGAATATCATAAAATTATCTTAAATATCTTATCAATAAAAGAATAACAATAATACCAAGTCTTTACTCCTTTTTTTTTTTTGTATCAAACACATTAAACTTTTTACAAAAGGACCTAAAAATTTTTCTTCATCATTTTGGAATGTTTTCTTTTTAAAAAAACATATTTTTGCATATTTAATATCTATGTTATTCTTTTTTCTAAGTCTATCATGTCTATAAATGATAACTATCTTGCCTTTATATGATATCTACTTTACCTTTATATGGTAACTATGGTTGGCTTAATTGTAAACTAAATGTAGAATTCACAAAAATTATGAATTTAAAATTTGTGCATGAATAATGAAACAAAGCAACTTAAACGAGTTACAAAAAAAATATATTAATGATAAAAAAGCTTCCTCTCTAACCTGCCCTATTTTATATGACCTAATTTCAGAACCTTTGATGTCATTATGCACAACAAAAAATAAAACCATATTCTAAGAGCAGATATAATAAAAGTTCTACGGTATTCTTAAAATATTTGTATGTATTCTGGCCACTATATGTATAAAAATGAAAATTTTTTGTCTTTTTGGACCTCTGGTATCTACCATAGGAATAATTTTTGGAATATTTTTGTATATCATAAAGTCTATACTAAAATGTATCATTACAGTATTTTTTAAATAACTTACAAGTTTAATGTACCACCCTAATTATATATATTTATGAGTGTTATATATATATATATAAATATATATATATATATATATATATATATATATATATATATATATATATATATATATATATATATATATAATGGTGTGACATCTACCCTCTATATTCTAAAAAAGATCTGTTCATTTTTAGGTTAAATAAGGTAACTTTTTTGCAAAAAAACTCTAAAATAATAACTTTTTTATAAAATGATTGTTTTTTTTTTAAAATTTTTTATATAATTTCTCTACTTTTGATACCCAACATGACATACTTTTGAAAAACTTTTTTTTATATTAGGGACCTGGTAAGTATCCAAGGGTCTGGTGCTCCCCCTAAATCCAATAAAATTTTGAAAAAATTTAATAAAGTTGCTTGTGAGAATCAATAGAAGGTTTTTTGAATATGAACAGATCTTTTTTTAGAATATAGGGAGCAAATGTCACACCCTAATTTATATATACACTTATAAATAAACAACTTTTACAAGAAACTTACATGTCGTCAATATAACATGGATACGGAAATTGTTGAACATAAACTCCTGGTTGATAGACAGTTTTGTTTGATAGAATTTCAATAAGAGTTCGATCTACCATATCTTGCAAAAATACAAACCCAAAATTAATATATTCATAATTCCAAAATGATAATGGTCCTGTAGTTCCAGGTCCTGGCTTCCAATACCTTTAAAGATATTATTGATAACAAAAGGTAAAAAAAGGACAATAATTTAACTTTTGTAAACCACCTATTTATTCCTCATATTTTTTACAATATATTTTAAAAATTATAGTAAAAATAATAGTAGCTACAGTAAAATAATGATAAATAATTAGTTATTAAATAAAAAAACTAACTGGCTTTTTACTCGAGACGTTGTTGGTGTGTAATCAGGGTTAAATCGCAATTTATATGCTACTTTTTTTGGAAAAGGTTTTGTTTCTTTAAGGTTTAAGAAAACAACACCTGTGAAAGAAAAAAAAAACAACTAGTAAATATATATAAATAATATACATAAAATAAATATATAATTTATTAATAGTATATATAAATAATACATACAAAATAATAATACGATATATATTTATAAAATAAGTATATATATAATCAACTTGTTTCTCTGTGCAGTGGCCTTGTTTGTTGAGGTTGATGTTTCAGAGTTATAGAGTTGAAAGAGGGTTGTAACCAAAAAAAAAAAAAGCCTTCTTGACTGTAGTGGCCTTCTCGGCCTTGGGAAGGTGAATAATTAAAAAAAAAAAGTATAATAATATAAAATTAAAACATTTTAGCAAAAGTAAAAAATGAATTTACTTGATAAAAATGTTGTGTTTTTCTTAATGGCATAATTGACTAAGTCTTCTTCTGTATTAAAAGGTACAAAAAAACTTGTGAAATCATAACAACCTAATGCAGAGCTAATATCTTCATAATACTGTAATGCTAAATATGTAATATTTCTCATCATCCAAAGGTTCTCATCAGTTAAATATGTTGAATTTATTAGCATCTTAATACTTGATAAAGTGTTCTCAAACTATAACAAAAAAAAATGAATATCAACTACAAAAAAATTTTAAAACTGATTTATTAATCCACTAATAAAGTTTTTATCAGTTAAAATATGAACTTTTTGTGAAAAGTTCAAAATTTATGAGTAAAGCTGTAAAATCTATTAGTAATATACTGTCACACAAACTTTGAAAAAACAAATAATTAAACAATATTTTATTTTAAAGTTTTAAAGCAAAGTAATTTCCAAGCAACAACAAACTCTTATCACACATATCATAAAATCATTTTAAGTAAAACATAACATTTTAACTTGAAAAACTAAAAATGTTTTTAAAACCTACTTGATTAATTTCTTTATCAGTAATATTGTAAATTGGTAAAAAACGTAAAATATTCTTCACTAATGGTGATTGTGCCATTGGTATTAAAAGATTAATCTGTAATTTAGAAAATTAAAAGAATTATAGATTTAAAAAAATAAAAGTTATAAATATATAGATAGTTAATGTGAATAAAACTATTTTTAAAAACTGAACTTTTAATTTGATTCCTAAATGTGATTTAAATAATAAAATATAATAACATAACTTCAAGAATTTTCTTATAAATTGTGGTTTATTTAATAAAATAACTTTTTATAAATAAATTTTTTAGTTTTTTAAACCTAAAAAACGCAGTACTATTTTACAATTTATTTAATGAAAATTGTAATTTTTTTTTTAATAAACAAAAAAGTTACTTTTTTCAAGATTTTATCTATTAACATTCTTTTGAGGATTTTATTAGTCTTTTGATATATACAGAAAAATCTGTTGAAAAACCATTTTTCTTTCCTTCAAATTTAAAAAAATCATTTTGGTTAATTAGACATTATAATGTAAAATAATTTAGGTTTGAAGCAATGATAGTTTTTACACAAAATTGTGTTGTGTCTATATTATAAATACATAAAAATTAGTTATCAAAATAAAATTTAAAAACACTTGATAAATAAATAGTAACAAAATTATACCTTATCCAGATATTGTCTGTCTTTTAAAAGCTCACTAGTAAAATTAAAAACTGTCTCAATGAACAGTTTTACATCTGTTTGGTTACTGATGGGGTTAGTTATCTATAAAAAGCAATAAAACATAACTTTGCTTAAATGATATAATATTTTAAAAAATCAACAGAAGAGATATGTCATGTATCATGTTATCTATATATAGAAAGATTCAGAATTAATATTTTTATTTCCAATAAAAAAAAAAATTCAGGTAAGCATTAGTCACAATTGTAATTATTTCCTGTTAAGTAGTAAAAAAACTTACAACCATTTTTTACATTAACATCTTCAAATTATTTAATCAAATAAATAATTTGAAGATGTAATCAATAAAAATATAAAACTTTTTTTTTTTCACAATATAGAAAATATACTAAGATCAACTTGTTTCTCTGCGTAGTGTCTAGGTTCATGTTTCGGAGTTATAAAGTTAAGAGAGGGTTGTAACCACAACTAAAGTAGCCTCCTCAATTGTAGTGGCCTTCATGGCCTTGAAAAAAAAAAGATACTATGTTTACTGGTGACATATACAGATAATTAATATTGATAATATATACTGAGAAATTTTTATTTATAAAAAAAAAAATAGAAACATGAAATACTCTCAACCAAAAAAGAAAAATCAAAGATTTTGAATAAAAAAAAATGTCAATGTTCAAAAATCTACAAGGATAATAAGTTGAAAAATAAGGGTGATGAGGGGCAAAATAAGGGTGATGAAGGGCAAAATAAGGGTGATGAGGGGCAAAATAAGGATAATGAGTTGGCAAAATGAGACACTTCAGAATTAGTTTATCTAACACAACCCATGTAACAAACTTTGAAAAAAGAAAAAGATTTTTTTGAAGTCTTCTAAAATCCTACTATAATTCAAAATAATATGAGAAAAACTGCAATGGTAAAGTCTCTAGAGATCGTTTATAGCAACATTGTCTCATTTTGACCCAAAGTGGGACAAAATGAGACAGATTCTAAATAATGACTATCCAGATATCAAATACTGAAAACTCTAATTATTTCAAAACTCCAAATAATTCCGGATATCTGGATAACAAAAAAATAAAGATGATAGAATGAACTTACTCTCATGGTGTTTTTAACGCAATAATTAAATTTAAATTAAGAATTTTAGTTATATACAGTTTATAGGTGTTTTAATTTTTGTCTAAGTAGAACATGCAACTGAAAAAACGTGCTCTGTTGCAGTAGATGTTGGTCTTATTGTCAGAAGTGCGTTAAACAATATACTTAAGTTATTTGTTCTTGTTTTAATGGTTGTTAAAAATATAAAATCATTTTTCAACAATCTAGTAATTATGTTGCTCTGCTTTTCTACATGGGTAATTGAGGAAATTGATGCTTTCAATTTTTGCTGCTGAATATTATTAGCATTTTGACTTTTAAGCATACTTTCACATGCGATTTCTTTTACAACTTCTTTTCCAACTTCCTCAACCTGCTCAGTACTGCTACTGTCACCACTAGATGTATGAATTTTTTTTAATGTTTCTACTGCTAAAGCAATGGCAGCAGATTTTGAAGAATATTCAAAATATTTAGTAGAATGTAGAGTAATACCTGTTTCCAAGAAGATTATTAATATCATAAGAAGTTTATCTTAACGTTCATCAACTCGCTTTTTTATCTGTTTCAATAAATTTTTACTTATATTCATTTGTAACTGATCTAAGCTTTCAAATATAAATTTAAAAAAACCTTCAGCGGTCAAAAGAGTTGGAGAATTTTTACTCAACTCCTTTATTGCAGTTTCCATCAATAATTAGACATTTAATAGTTCTCCTAAAGTTGATATATTCTCCTCTGAAATCGTTTGTGGCCCTAATTCATTTTTATTTAATTAAGTTTTAATAATAATTAAGTTTTATTAATAAGATCCTTTGTTTGAAGGAATCATTTGAGCATGGTTATCAATGAATTCCACTGAGTTTTGAGATCTAGCATTAACTGCAATGTCATGCCTGCTTGTTCATTGTCATATCCTTTTAAAATGTTGTTTTAGACTGAAGAGAATTTTATCATTTTTATAATTCCTCTAAGATTTTTTATAACCTCTTGAAAATCTTTAGTGAGATCTATAATTTCAATGTATTCCTCTAGTTTGCAGTTTATATCAGCATCTTCAAATCAATTTTTATTCAACTCATTATCAATGCTTTTGACAGATTCACCTTCACTATCTTCGCTAACATCTATATAATCTGATACTTCTTCATTTTCTTCAAAAAATTTTGATTGTTTTTTATACAGTAAATCAGTTTGCTAAATGCAAATCGTGGTTATAACAAAGTTGAGATATGATGCCTAACAGCCTTCCATACTTGACCATAATGGCAGCTCCATCATGTGTTGATAATATTATACCTGACTTGATGTCAGTTTCAAATTCTTTTAATTTATTTTCAAGATATAATTTTGTTTGTTCAGCATTACATGTACTTTTTATGTGAACTATTCCTAATACATACACTTCATAAAATTATCAACAAGGGCATGAAGTGTAACATGAAGATTCATAGAGTTATCAGTCCACTGTTCATAGAGTTATCAGTCCACTCGTCTAATGTTAGTGAGAATTTAACGCTTTTTTTCTTTAGATCCTTGGTAATACTAACTTTTTATTTCATAAAATTTTAAAATGCACTTTGTTACAGTAGTAGGATTTTTAGGCATATCAAAGCCTTTACTTCTAATGTACCCATTAATGATTTGTGATTTCACTGAATTCATTGAAAAATCAACCACTGCTACACATCATGATAAAACTTCAATATTTTAGTGTTAATAATTTTTTTTTTCTATTGTCAGCCTAAGTTCTTTTAAACTTTTTCAATGTCGATGGTTCACTTTGCTCACAAGTTATCTCTAATGAATTTTTAGTAGCAGCAGATAGGCAAGAGGAATTTATGAAAATCTTATGAATTTTTAAATGATTAAGAAATGGTGTTGTAGATAATCTTTTGCATCCTAGTTGCTTACTGCAATGCTTACAGAAAGCAATATTCCTATTTTTTTCATTTCTATAAAATTGGTTCCAAACTTCAGATCGTTTTGACATTACTACAACTTTTAAAGTTTAAGAAATCAAAAAATTAATTATAAATTTAATATTTATCTATAAATTTAATATTTATCTAGAGTGAATCTAGATATGTTATTTATATTCAGATTAATCTAGAATTTTGTGTAATAAGTCACTTATTAAACTAAATATTAACATAAATATGCTTATAACTTATTGTATGACCAATTTAAAACAAACTAGAAACTGTTATTACATAATAATATAGCTTAAAATAAAAAAGTAAAATAATATAAATCATATAGCAAGTAAAACCAATTTAATAAAAGATAATATTATTCAAGAATCCTTAATGTTACAGAAATCACTAAAAAAAATTACAAAAAATCCATTATATTACTTTATATTACTTAAAAAATTAGAAAATAGAAAATTAAAAACATTTAATTTATAATCAAAATGCCTAAGTTTAAAAAATATATACATATAAAAATAATAGTTGTCTGCCTAATATTACATTTATTTAATATTAAGCAGACACAAATCAATGTGCTTAAACAACTGAGCTACAAAGTGTGACAATAAACAATTGTTACATACAGTAGAAAAAAATAAATTAATATTTAATAAAATAAAAATAAATTTTTATTTTGGGTAAATATACTGAACTTATTTGAAAGATTGTTATTTTAAATTAAACTTTCCATCTTTTTAATTCCATGTTTAAGTTTCCTGCCATTTGAAAACAATATTTTAATTTATCAAAAAATATCCAGATTGGCAAATATTTAATAAAAATTATTCAGATTTCCGAATAGTCGAATTAAGACCGATTATTCAGATAATTAGATAATTGGATATCCGAATTGGAAATTCTAATCTAAAGTAAACAAACCAGATTTTAAAAAAGATTAGAAAAATAATTTGTTTTTATAATAAAATATATTTTACAACTCTATTATATAAATCATACATACTGCCACCAGGCATATAAATCACATATTGCTGCAACTTTTGTGCTGTTCTAGATGGTAATGTTGTATTTACCATTTTTCTAGCTAATTCCAATAAATTAAAGTTTTATGCCAAACAAAATTCAATAAATGTTCTTTGTATGGGTTTTATGCCAATCAAAATCACAAGAATCTTATTTTCTTGTGTTTTTATTTCATACAGTTTATAAACTCTATGAAAAGATCAGTATAATATTTTTATGTATATTAATATAAATTTTGCAAATCTACTCACTGTATATAATACTTTTATTACTAGACTGTTTTAAACAAAAATAAATGCAACAAATAAAAAAGATAAACTTTAAACATATTAAGCAACTAAAATAAATAAAAGTAAATGATATATTAAAATTTTTTAAATGTTGGATAAGAACTAAACATAGCAAAAACTACATATTTATATTAAATAAACATATTAGATATCAACAAAAAATTGAAAAACTATTAAACAAGTTTAAATTAAAAAACAAAACAAATTAAGACTAAGAAAATGTTTTACAATTAGCCATTGTTTTAATTCAATTGATTTTTGTAACCCTTTCAGGACGGAACAAAAATCAGCTATATGTCTGAACATCAAGTTTTGACCATGATTAGTTAAATGACTATAAAATATGAAGTACTAGTCAAAATAAGTCAAGTGAGGGCTCTTTTTTTTTTGTTCTATAATAGGCTATCATATTTAAGAAAAAAAATTTTGCCAAAAGTTTAGAAAACATTTATTTTGACTTAAACTTTAGATTATAAATAGAATATTACAGTTAACTGCCAGTTTTTTAATTGCCCAACATAAACACATACATTTGTGATCAAACAAAAAAAAAATTAGACTAATCTAATGACTTAGTGCAAAGATATTCAAGTTTTAGTATAAAGAACCAAAAGTCACAATATTCTAAAGATATAATAAAACAACTAATTTTCTCAAAATAATTTTTTAAGCACCACTTCAAAAACATGAAAAATTTTCACTGCAAATAATAGTCTTTTTTTGTGTGATAAATTTTAAA